TCTTTAGGTGTTTCTCAGTACCATATTTAAAACACAACAAACACCTGGATAGAACACCAAATTTTAAGGCATTGCCAGCTGGATAGTCTTCTCACACAAATTCAAATTAAACCCTTTGACAGAATATTTACTGACAGCAGAGAAGGGTAAGTACATGTAATTCAAAGTCCACTTACATAACCATTCATACACAGAGACAGGTACCAACCAGTGTAGTAGAGTTAACCAAACCCCCTCAGTTAAATCTACATCATATTTCATAATGGTTACTGTAGCAACTTCCTGGATATAACCAGTGATAATACCTTACCTTCATCACAATGAAAGATCCATGTTCTATACAGTAATGTTGACTTCTGATTTTTATTATCTCAATACGTGTATATCTTACACTAACAACGGATAGTTCTAAAGTCAAAGTATTTACAACCTTAAAGTTCAGTATTCTATGAAAAATAGAGTTAAGTACAAAAATGATAGTAAAGAACTACCAAACAAGAATAGTGAGCTCATAGAATTTTAGTAGGTGTAAAATCATCCTTATTAACATTTAAAGATTTCAAGCACTGATTATAACTAGAGTTATCACAAGTTGAGTATTAGTGCAATTTGATCTGTTTCCAATTGTTCATTTACAAAAAATATTAAAATCTCTCCCCCCAACCTCCCCCCTCCTCCTCCACTTCACAATGGACAGTCCCAAACACGAAGCAAGTCAATCACAAACATTCAGCAAGGTAAAAGGTTATAAGGTTTCATGTCAAAATGATTTTTATTTATTCTTCCTTTAATTCATTACAGGGTAAAACATTAAAGCAAAATCATCACAAACCCACACTTACTGAATTCCCTTGCCAGTTTTGAAATAATATTTCAAATTTATTTGTTGTTCAATTTTGTTTATACACTAAAAGCAAGCTTAACATGTCTTATATAACACAGAAAAAGCAACTGAATTAGGTTCAACTTGAATACAAAGCAACATAACACAGCAAATATATGTGCTGAACATTAATGTGCAAATGTTGAATAATAAATACTATTATTGTCTATAATTTCTTAATAAGTTTTGTAAATGGCAAGGTCTCATAATTTTGACCTATCTTGTAATGAAAAGTTTACCGTTTGGGAAAGATCTGCTTCAGGAATAACAAGAACACCTTACAATATCATCTGTTTAAACTTGATTGAATGAGCACTATCAAAACATGATTGGGAAAATACCTTACAAGTGTTCCTAGATTAAGTTTGACATATACTTTAATTAATTCTTATTTAAGGTCAATAGTCATAAACGTTTATAGCCTTATTAAAACAACTCTCTAGCCCCCTTCCTAGAATTAACCACAAGTTGTTACACAAGGAAATGTGGTCATGACCCAAGATCCCTGTGGTGTGAGGCTGACACTTGACCACAAGGAATCTGGTCACACAGGATTCTGTTTCAGAACAAATCAGTTTCCTGCAAGTAGCTTTCAAGTTTATAGAATGGCAACAGACACAACTTCATTAACAAAGTTGTCAAAGAAAAAAATAAAAAGTGCCATACCAAGATCTGAAACACATGACTTTGAGGCCTAAATTGCCACTAGGTTTATCAGACAGACTTGAAGACAAATGTTCTACTAAACGATTCTAAAACTTAAAACAGAAAGATTCTTTCTAGATATAGCTAAAGAAACTTAAGAGAGAAAAATGCTGACTTCTTGAATATATACAAATATCTATCTACCTGTGAACAGAGAGAAATCTACTAAGTATTTAGAAATCCGAGTAAATATATATATTATCCGATTAAATATAATTAAGCCGCGTCATGACAAAACCAACATAATGGGTTTGCGACCAGCATGGATCCAGACCAGCATGCTCATCCGCTCAGTCTGATCAGGACCCATGCTGTTCGCTATCAGTTTCTCTACTTGTTATAGGGTTTGTAAGCGAACAGCATGGATCCTGATCAGACTGCGAGGATGCGCAGGCTGGTCTGGATCCATGCTGGTCGCAAACGCATTATGTTGGTTTTGTCATGACACGGCTCATATATATATCAGGAGGCCATGTTAATATCTTATATAGCAGTACTGATGGTTAGAGCGAGACAGAGGTAAGAATGACATAATATCAGACCACTGAATCAATTATACAGTCAGACTTTGCTGCATATATGTGAAATCTGTATCAATTGCCTCTCATTTTATTATTTTGACTCTAAAATCCTTGAAATTAATTAACAAATCTGCATACAGAGAAGGAAAATGTTATTCATTTCACAGATTCAGCAATGAAAATTTTAAGGGTAGGTTAATCACTATCTTTAATCATCTGTTATACCACAAACCATGTAATTCATAAATGCTACCAGGGTCAGATGATGACCTTCAATCTTGGACAAGTGCCAAGATAACCCTCTCAGCATCATTTTACAACAGCTTACCTACACAAAATAATTTAAAAAAAATTTCTACAAGATTCAAACCAACAGCAAGAAGTTTCAGTGGTTTATTATCGGTCACCTAAACCACTTAACCATAGAGATGCCTAACCTATAAATCTGATCGTAGGTGTATAGTCATTTAAAAAAAAGAATGTGTTAAAATAAAAGAGTGCTAATACACACAAAACTTGATTAGATATTTACACAAATAAAACCGTTTAATATCACTCTGGTGTAAGCAATATACCAAAATACCTTTTTGTCTGTTTCCATTTTTTCATACTTTAAAAAGATAATCAAATACTAATTAAACAATAATCTATGATTACAATAAACTTAATATCTGCTTAAACAGCCCATTATTCATAATGCATCTTTAAATTCCACTAGTTTTCCTTTCTAAGTTAATACTATGACTGCCACTGGCAATATAGAATTGTGTTTAGTTTATACCCAGTTTATTTTACTTCGATTGTGTAGAAAGCTATAAGGTTATAGACACACTTTCGAATCCGTTCCTGGAGCCAACCAGTACTGAGCAATGAGTGAAAAGTTTCTTGCTCAAGGAAAGGCCGGCTTGCCCCTGATGGGGTTTGAACCAATGCGGCTAGCTACCATAAGATCAATAGTCCAATGCGTTAACCAGTCGGCCATGCCGCCACATAAATTGCCTTTGCAGCCAGTATAAAGCCAGACAAGTTTTCTCATCCCTTAACTCTCACAGACTATATACTGTTGGCTGCTCAGTTTCCATATTTTGAGATTGAAATCCCTAAAACTGTTAATGGAATGGTCCAAATTCAAAGCACAGCTGTCACATTACATAAATGTAGCATGGAAAGGGTTTACTAACCCTTACCACCCTGTGTCTCTTAAATTGACAAAACTATTCATAACTTTTAAGAAAATTTCAAAATATGTAACTGACTGAATAGCAAACAGCACACACTGTTATCAACTGAGGCCATCCTTAAAAAAAATGTCTGTTTGCAGTAACCCGACCCAGAATTTTCAAGGTGGGTAGGTAGGTCGATTTTTTTTTTTTTAATTTTTTTTTTTATTGAACTGTACTCCCAAATAAACATGGAATTTCAAAATGCTGGACATTATATGCTTTGATAATCTGGTAACAATTAATAAATTGATAACTGAATTCTAATTTAATAAGAACTACATATTATTCTTCTATTAACCTTTAAAAGAACAAAAACAAAGCACAAGGCATAATTTTCTGATCCAAAAAAAAAAAAAAAAACTTATTCAGACCATGAAAAAAAAATTTGAGTAGGGGCAAATTTTGTGAGTCGGTCGCGTTACTGCAAACAAACATTTTTTTAAGGATGGCCTGACAGAGATATGCCAGCTGATCTTGATCTGCAGTAGTCACATGTCTAATTAGATTTATGATATAAGCATGTTCCATTAATAAAATAAGTTCTTATATATACATATGCTTTTCTAGACTTCATCCTTCACGAACCAGAAGTTGGAAACCTTTGACTGTGCTGGAGATACCACACACAAAAAGACTGTGCTTTCAATTTTCACACTATTCCACTAGTTTAAAATTGGCAGTAGCTTTTGTTTTTGCGTATAAACAAGCATTTGCAAAAGTAGAAAAATATTAGCCTTTCAGGCTTGATGAAAATATTTAAAATTAGTTACTTCTCAGCTATACTGGATTAAACTTTTTACTTTATTTTCCATGTTTTGTCAGAAGGGCTATACATTATTAAAGTATTCATTTATATATAAAATACTCATGGAAAAAAACTAGCTTCTTTCAGCTTTCATATGTTGTTATAAAAGAAATTGCAAAGTCCAAAAACAGCTGTGTTCAAGCCATGTATTAGAAGACCATTACTTCCTGTCACACTTACCCCTGTGTTGGACTTGGTGGATACATGCTGCTGAGTCTGTCCAGACTGACCACTGACAAAGACTGGAACCTCTTTAAAGTACTTGTTCCTGAAACTTTCTCAGCCACCTGAAAACAATAAAAATGATCAAAAAATCGGAAACTCAAGAATATTAGATAAAAAAATTATTTAAAAAATTTTTTTATAGTTTAACATGATCTTGATTTGTTTAAAGTGACATGATACCCATTTCATAGCTGTCAAGTTGAGTTGGATTAGTAATGTATTTAAAGAGATTGACTATTATGGTGATTTACCAACAATTGTTAATGAAAAATGTTTAGGATAAAATATGAAAACTACGTAAATTATAAAATAGACTATTCAAGGGTATATAATGAGTGAACAGGTTAAAGTCAAAATATGTTTACAGTTTGCTACAACTCCTTTCAATTTTATAATACACTTCATATGAATGATAGATAATTCACATGGCCAAAGAAAATTTCTAAAAATTACAATTGGAATTTACATGTAACAGTTGATGTATAAAAAGAGTGGGGCAGTTTTTTTTATATTTTATGCCAGATTTATATTTTATTCTTAACATTTTTCAGTATCAACTGTTGGGTCAATCACCATAATAACAGTCAAACTTTTGAAATATACAGTTAATTTAGCTCCACTTGACAATGAAAATTTGAGCATAACGTCACTTTAAATGTGTCCAGACATAACCAGTACCTTAATGTTGTACTCGCTTTCAATCATCTGTAACCATTCTAGATGTTTCTCCTCTAGATAGGCATGGAATGGTTTCTGTACCTCCGGACATTTACGTTTATGTACCCACATACCATCTTTGATCAATACAGCCTGAAAATATATCATTCTTTTAAAGTATAAAGAGCTATAGATCTGCTGCCTGTAGTTGACAAATTATTGTTTCAATTTCGAAAAAAAAGTATTTCCAAGACACATGTATGAAAGAAATATGCTTGTATATTTCCTAAAAAGTGAATGGCAAATGCACAAAATCATTGCTAAATGGTTAAAATTCTTCTTAAAACAGCAGCATAAAATTTGTTTTATAAACGTTTTGTTTATTACATACAAGACCATTCATGTGTGTATATACATCTCTTCTATTTCAGACATGAGCTTGCACATGAGAAGAACAGAACCACAAACCTTCCGTAAGCTAGTTTGAATAAAATCCAAAATTCCTGAAAATGGACCTTCAGCCTGGTCTCAAACAAATACCCATCTGAGCAATGTATGAAGAACAAGAGTCCCTCCCCCCCCCCCCCCCATCCCCAGTAAGCTGTACAATTTTATGTGCCATTTACAATGACTGATAACTTTTATCATGTCAATCTTGACACCTTTGACGTTCTTACTTGCCAAGAAAAGAAAACAGACACCTCTAGCATCATATGGGTTAATGTGAGATTATCTTATAATGATATAAAATATGTATAATCACCTGTGTTTTGGTGTGCTCTTTAAGTTGTTTCACAAACTCCCTATCTTTATCATTGTCAGCAAAGTCGTCACTGTAAAAATGTTTCCAATTTGAGATTCCACCCATGACTGCTGCATCCACTATACCCTTTAATAACATACCTATAATAAACAACAAATATATATTTTAGATACAGACTTACACAATCAGAGTTTCTCTAGAAAACTGCAGATTACATTGTAACCTATTACACCACTTACTGTGTTTGAGGACCTCAGTAGCACCTACATGCATTAATACCTCCCTGCATTATTTCAGGCATGAACTGGAACCTAAGCCGAACCACTGACTTTATAAGCTAGCAGGATAACTTATTAAAATTATAAAATCCAAAGCCACTGGTGGGATTCAAATCTACAGCCCTTACGGTCAAGTGGCTTGAAATCAATAGCCATAACCCCCCTGCCATGGATGACCCTTTACAAAAAAAAAAAAAGTTAAATTTCTAATCTTGATAAAACAAAGTACTATAGGGAAAAATTATATGTTAAAATGCAAAGAGTAGACTCAAAATAAATTTTCTTTGTTAGTTATTGAAATATTTACCTAGCTGATCAAGTCTAGCTTTAGGCTCTGTTAGCTGATGCTCTATTGCTGAGTTCAGCTTCTTGTTAGATGAGTCTAGAGTTTCTATAGCTGTCTCAATCGGACTCACTTTGTACTGAAAATAACATACTTTGTATCAGATATATTCTTTAAGTACACACACTGGACTTTTAAGGTCATTAACATTTTTTAAGAAAACAAATCAGTTTCATGACTGATGCCATACCATTTGTAGTTATAATAAATAATTTGTGATTCAAATGAACAAAGTTTAGTTAAAATGCACAAAATTTAGTTCAAATCCACAATGTTTATTTCAAATGGACCATTGTGATTCAAATGAACAAATTTAGTTAAAATGAACATATAGTTCAAATGAACAATTTGTAGTTCAAATGAACAAAGTTAAGTTCAAATGAACAATGCTAAGTTCAAATAAACAATTTGTAATTTAAATGAACAATGTTAAGTTCAAATCAACAATTTGTAATTCCAATGAACAATGCTTAGTTCAAATGAACAAAGTTAAATTAAATGAACAATATATATTTCAAATTAAGAAGTTGCGGTTCAAATGAACAAATAAATATAAATAACATATCAAGCAGTCATTATAATTATGAACAAATAACATAGCACAGTAGACCATCAAATAGAACTACTTACCACTATAGTTTGTGTTACAGGTAACCAGCACAGTATACTATCAAATAGAACTACTTACCACTATAGTTTGTGTTACAGGTAACCAGCACAGTATACTATCAAATAGAACTACTTACCACTATAGTTTGTGTTGCAGGTAACCAGCACAGTATACTATCAAATAGAACTACTTACCACTATAGTTTGTGTTGCAGGTAACCAGCACAGTATACTATCAAATAGAACTACTTACCACTATAGTTTGTGTTGCAGGTAACCAGCACAGTATACTATCAAATAGAACTACTTACCACTATAGTTTGTGTTACAGGTTTCGAGCACAGTATACTATCAAATAGAACTACTTACCACTATAGTTTGTGTTACAGGTAACCAGCACAGTATACTATCAAATAGAACTACTTACCACTATAGTTTGTGTTACAGGGAACCAGCACAGTATACCAGGTAGAGGTGAGGCTGTTGTCATATTTGTTTTCTCCTGCCAGATATTCTGTAACAAGTCAACAAAACAAAATAATCATTAACTTTGGTCATCCTGTGGATGTAACTTCACTTTTGTGTAGAAATACCTCAAACTTTAGTGAATGACAGTATTTTGTCAAAGCACACATGTAAAGCATATCAATAGTGGTCAATGTAACAGAAAAGAAATACATATTTTTCATATACCAGAAAGGTCATCTAAAATTGAAATTTTTAATGTTTCTGGGTGATTCTATGCGATTATGAAAATTAAATGCACCTATAAGAAAAGTTGTAATCAAAACATTATTTCAGAGTAATTCATTTCAAAAGTAAATCCAAATATTGCATTAAACAATATTTGCTGTTTATTTTAGAATGCCTATATTTTAACATTGTTGCAAAAGCTGAACATATCCCAGGCATTCAAAATAAGATAACAGATGCCTTATCCCAGTTTCAGATGGAGAAATTTTGGAGGCTAGCACCACAAGCAAACAAAAATGCAGAAATAGTCCCGAGCCATCTTTGGCAGATCTTCGAGCAGGAGCAAGACACCTTCTAAAATCCAGTATGGCTGAAAACACACGACTGGCGTACACAAATGCAATAAACACATTCAACAAATTTCGAAAACAGTACAACATAAACACCAATTGGCCAGCTTCAGTTAACCAAATTACTTTATTCATATCTCACTGTTATAGCAAAAGTTATTCCCCTTCAACCATATCAACTTATTGCTCTGGTATAAGCTTTTATCATAAAATAAAAGGCATAAAAGACCCTACTGAAGATTTCTTGGTCAAAAAGTTGCTTGAGGGTTGTAAACGGTCCACCAGACAAGTGGACAACAGAAAGCCAATTTGTGCACCATTGCTAATGAAAATATGTGAAAAGTTAACTTTCATATGTACAGACAGGTATGAAGAAAATCTTTTTAGGGCAGCATATACACTCTCTTACCATGGGTTATTTAGAGTGAGTGAAGTAATAAGCACATCAAACTCAAACCAACCTCTTCATTATAAAGATATTAGCTTTATGGGAGACACTCTAGTTATTACATTGAGGAAATCCAAAACCAATCAGTGTGGCCAACCAACAATTTTAAAAATAAAGGCTTCCACAAATAAACAAATTTGCTGCTTACAAGCCTTACAGAATTACATTATTTTGAGACCAAGATTCGATGGATGCCTATTCTGTCACTTAGATAGAACCCCTCTTACCAGATACCAATTTTCAGCAATCCTATCAAAAACTCTTCAGTGCATTGGGATACCAACAACAAATTATAAATCACACTCTTTTCGCATAGGTCGTGCAACAGACTTAGCCAACATGGGCATTGACAAATCTGAGATCAAAAAAATGGGCAGGTGGTCATCCAACAGCTACTTAAAATATATCAGATCATAAACCAATCTGCATCAAAACAACAACAACAAAACAAAAAACTACTCTTTTGATGCCATTTCAAAACTTTCAATATCCAGCGAATAGATTGACTTACACACTTCTTTGTATCATTACAGATATATGGTTCATGGGGGACTCAATAGTTAAACGAGCACACAATTATGCTATCACAGATAATTTCACTTTGACTGACAAGAATGTGTGGTGGTGCGGCAAGTCTGGCATGAGATGGGAAGGCCTTCTTCAAACCATCCAGCTACAAATGCTTCATAATCCACCACCCAAAATCCTCATCATACACCTTGGAGGTAACAACATCCACAATACTAAAATTACAAAACTAATATCAGTCATAAACAAAGACATCAAATATTTAAGAGAAACTCTTCTTGACACTCATATCATCTGGTGTGACATCCTACCACGACTACAATGGCGGAACAACCTTTCAGAATCACCCAAACTACTCAACATAAAAAGAAAAAGAATTAATCGTGCTGCTCATCAATTCTTGAGACTTTTAGAAAATACTTCTGTTATATCCCCAAATATACCATGGCATATGTCAGAACTCTTTATGACCGATGGGGTCCATTTGTCTGATATGGGTAATATGGTATACCTTCAAACAATTAAAGTTCACTTAAAAAATGTTACTTAATCATGAAACTGCTAGAATTTGGAGAAAATGTTTCTAAATATCTCAACATTTTGTGGCGTAAATTCTAGGGAATTTTAGTCTTTTGGAGGTCAGCCTATCAGTTCTGGTAAACAAACTACAAGTTTCTTGTACTCTATGTAGTTGGAGGTTGATTACTGCACCAAACCAGCACATAGAAACAAGGTCTAACTATGTAGCGTTTACTAGAGTAAAAAATTAGAGTGCTTACTTGCTAAACTCGCTGTAAAATACAGAGGTAGGGTGTTCTGTCCGTACTAATAGTGTGCAGTCACCCGCGTACCCTCTAAATAGCTAGAATAACACATTATCTGGTTGCTAAAATATTGGTTGCTACATACTGGTTGCTATTTGTTGGTTGCATATACACTGGTTTAAAAAATTGTCTCTATTATCTGGTTGCTACATACTGGTTGCTATTTGTTGGTTGCTTTACAATGTTTTCAAAAATCGTCTCTATATGTCGCTAGTAATTAATGGAAAATTACTGATAGGCTTCACTTCCACTGACTAGAATTTTTACATGTTGCGGCCAAAATCATTCCATCCTATTACCAAACTATTGGAATAAATTCAGTAAATGTAAACCTGAGTTTTTGTTGTATTTCAATATATGCTTAGTGTATTGGGTGTTATCTATTTCTTAAAATAAATACTATTCAATACTAAATTTAATTTCATCATAATTATTTTGTTATTAAATAATATTATCCAGGGTAAAGCTTCGCCAGTAACGTAATATTGTAAGCATGTACTATTTAAAGCACATGAATTGTTAACATATGGACAGACCTACTGATAATTTGTAAAACTAGGAGATCAAACAGGAAAAATTAACAGGTCTTTGCCAACCAAATTGTAGCAAGACAGCTTGCACATCTGTGACGTGCAACCAGACTAGAGACTAATAGTGTTGCTTTCTCAATTTTAGTACCTTAGCTACTGAAACCCTGCAACATCACAATGGGAAATTTACTTGTTTAAAGCAGATAAAATCCATGCTATGAGTTGATAGGCTTATAGTTTATGGATGTAAAACTACACCAATATCACTTACAGCAATGTTACTGCCTCCTTCATCAATTCTCCGAGAGTATGTAAACAGCTGAACCTCGTTCATCTGGTAATACCTGAAACAATTAAAAGAATAATATTGTTATCATAAATATGTATTGGGGGGGGAGGGGGGGGGGGGGTTTAACTATAAGGGTAAAAGAAATGCTAGTTTTTGCTTCAGTAACCTTGACTCAAATGATCTGACACACTACTCCAAGAGTCCCAGATTTAGACACACAACATTGTAAAGTTCATGATGGGCTTTTTATCTTGACTGGTTAATGAAGATCTGAGATGCCCCTCTGTGCATACTAATTCTGACAAAAGCAGTCATCTAAATAGAACAACTTACATTCTGTAAGATAGATGGGCAGGTTTCTCAAATAAAGTTATCAAAGCAAATTTGAATATTTACAGTATTATACGAAGGGGCATAGAAGTAAATTTATAATGCCTATCCTCTTTTTTCACCTTCTTAAAATCTTGTCCTAAACATACATTTAAGTGAGTGAAAGACACAGATTAAAGTCAAAGTCAGAAAGTTACCCACACAAAGAAATTTAAGGACAAAGCAAACTAATGTTTAAGTATACAGATGTGTTTTAAAACAAGTTCTGCTCTAGAAATTGATGTTTACCATTTGTTAATTTGAAGACTTCAACCAAAAGCTATTTATTGAAAATGTATATATACTTGATGAAAAGATATTTCATTATCAGTGTGAAATAAATAACACTTACTTGAGTATTTTTTCACTGACTTGTTTATTGACAAATTTCTGATGCATTTCCATGACAGGGGTCACTGCATTTATCTGTAAATCTGTATTCAAAAAGCAACAAACATATTTCATTAAAGAAAAATCAATAGCTGTCTACAGCACTGTAACAAAATATCACAAAATATTACATGATTCCCTTTCTTTCTATACCAAGTAAAACGGAGATCAAAATACATCAAATCATTACTGATCATTGTTTTATATCCCAATACTGAAATCTTTTCTGGTAATAAGGAATCATTTCAAATTTATATAAGTCACTTACTTGCATTACTGAAATTCATTAGCTATATCTATGTACACATGTATATTTTGTACCACAAAAGTGCATTTGCATTGATATACAAGTGTAAATTGAAAAGAATTTACAGTGGTATTTGTATATATATCATTATCTTAATCCTTACATAAGGGTAAAGAATATAGTAAAATAAGAAGTAAAATAAAATACAAATGTTTATATTAACAAAATCACAAAAAATAACAACACTGATGATGTTACGTAATGACAACATACATTGTTTTGGGGATTCTTTAATCTCATCTGAGGGAGCTGATAAGGTTTTCATCAACTGCAAATAAATACATTTATATGATTTATGATATTATATACTCTTCTGGTTTTCTGAAAAGTTTCCACATCAGTTCACAACTCAGAACAAACAAATGCCTGTCAAAATTATCAACTATAACTTACTCTTGCATAACAGCCCCTTAAAATCATAAAGGAAAAATAAATTTATTTTCAACAGAAATACAAATGGCAAAACATCACTTGATGATGAACAAATTTCATTTACAAAAGTTCACTTCCTTGGACTTAATGTTTATCTAAGCCTAAAATCTTAACTCATTATGATAACACCTACATGTATTTCTGTTTGTTTTCATTTTCTGGTTTTAACGTCAGTTTAACAACATTTAATTCTTTAACTAACAGACAACTGACTGGATACTATGCCCTTACTCACCTGTTTAGGCACAAATTACTAACAACTTCTCAACATAATTCAATTAAAAAGAAGCTGAATTGAATGATAATAAGACCATGTAGTTAACTATTTTATCAACGTAAAGCGTGTGCAATAACCAGCACTAGTCAATATGAGGCTGGTAGATATTGTAGACTATAATAGTCTCCCTGAAGAGTTGGGGAATCATCTGATTAAAGCAGCGACTAATATTTCTGTAAAAAATATTAAAAATTCCCTTACCTCAGAATTGGGAAACAAGGTTTGCATTCTTCCATTGAAATCTTGTAATCTCTCATACTCCTTCCCTCTGTATATAAACACCTTGTTCTATAAATATAACAGTGTATATTCAGGTAAATCTAATAAAATATTCAGGTAAATCTAATAGTGTATATTCAGGTAAATCTATGAAAGTGTATATTCAGGTAAATCTAATAAAGTGTATATTCAGGTAAATCTATGAAAGTGTATATTCAGGTAAATCTAATTAAGTATAGGTAAACATATTGTGTACTCTTTTAATTTACAAGTAATTCATTTATCTACAATAATGGTACAGGAAGGTCAGATTTTATGAAATTTCTTTTTGCCTTAATCATATAATACAATACAATACATAGTGCACTTTCTGAATGCAGTAAGGTAAGTCCAAAATTCTTTACATTAGCTGATGACTAGCCAGATTGTTGCAAGAAAATTCAATTTCAAACAAGTAGTAATGACGGTCATTGTAGTTAGACTTCACCTTTTTCTCTCACTTGAACACAAACTCACATCTATAAAATTAATTTATCACATTCCCGCGTCATTTTTGTGACTTGGTACAAATGGTATGGCACTGCCTTGCATATATTTTGATGTGATGTCACATGCTAATACAAGCACAGCCTTTAGATGCACTACATGTAAATGTTACACTGTAAGCGCGATAGAGAAAAAAAAAATCTTTTTTTTTTTTCTATTAACCAGTTCTTATGTTATGTATATGATATCATAAACAGAATATTTTTATATATGTGTATGTTCATTACTAAATTTATTGAACTAATTGAATAAAGATAATATCATGCTTACCAGAGGCTCGCATAATATGATTTTATTTAACTTGTTCAATAAATTCAGTAACAAACCTACACTCATTCATTATCCTCTATACACCGATAATTAAAAACTGCCGATATATGACTATTAATTACCTGTAAGAAAGAGGGGTATCCCCTGCCAAAATATCCAACTCTAAAATACTCTGGGTCTGGTCTCATCTCCTTCATAATACTTTCAAACAATGCTGCTTGTCTTCTCTGTAAGTAGATTTTGTTTTAACAATTAATATACACCAAAATTATTTACTATCAAATATCATATTCTTTCAGTGAGTGAACCAGCAGTATTTATGACAAATATCTAGCAGTTACCTATCCAGTGTTCCTGAATTCTGTAGTAGTACTAGAATGTATTTCCACCAGTATCGTTCCTCAAAAATAAAAATGAAATAGCAAAAACCTCTTTGCTTGCTTTTAGGTCAAGACATTAACATTTCAGCACCATAAAAGCCAATAACAACTTATCAAGTGTTACTATACTGAATACTATGTACTACAAGACCCATAGGAATAACCCAAGACAACAACAGTTAACTAACAATAGCATTAGACATAATGAACTAACTTACGTGTATAAGTTAGCATATTAGGTGCGTTATGATACATATGCAGTCAAATGTTGTTGAAAAAAAGAAAGCAGAAAATACTTTGAAAAGAAAACATTTTTCATAAACAAGCTTAAGCTTTAGTTTAAATGTTTAAAAGAATAAATTGCTTACAAGAATCCAGCTGAGTTTTTCGTAGTCGAATAACTCATTCTCATACAGTCCAGATATCTCTTTACACAGATCAATTCCTTTCTCCCACATCTGCAATAAAAGTTTACAGTAATCTCACCAGTCTTTCTTTGCTTATGAAATTTGGTTTGAACATTTACAAATGAAAAATTAGAATAAAGAAAATTGAAAAAAAAAATGTTTATCCAAAAGTTTTGTTTCAAAAACTTCCTCAATAATTGAATAACAAAATGTTTGTGTGCAATCCTCAATTTCAATGACATGATATTTGTTTGTAAAAAGTTAATTTTATTAAGAAAAGTGTAATTAAGACAGCAATATACACATCTATTAGTTAAAAATTGCATAATCTATGATATGTTGATCATGGTCTCAGCTGAAGGAAATCTTAATTTGACAAAATGGTGATTAGGGACAGAAGGTCCTTTGTAAAAATGGTAAAGACATTATATTTTATAAACATGAACCCTCAGGTTTAAGTAACATCATCACCTATTAGATCAGCTGGCAACTTTCCATCATTATTTGTGTGAAGTATCCCTCTACACATTACTTCAAGCATGTGAGGACACATGATTTATACAACTAGTGGCCTTCTGTAACCACCATCATGGCTTCCTCCATAAAGAGAATTGAAAGTTCTTGGTTCTTGACTAGACTTGAACGTACAACCACATTCATTTGTGAAAAAACTATATAATATGGCATCATTGAAATCAGTTTACCTTTCCTTTCTCAAAGTACTGTATAATATGATGGTATAACATTTCCTTGAGTTCTCGATGTGTCGTTGCCTCGGGAAACCTCTCTGATTGTAGAATGGTTGATAAACGGTCATCTGACCACTGTAAAACATAAACCAGAAACATTTGATGATGTGTACATGAAATTTATACAATTTTCCTGTTTTTCTTCTAGTACTAGTGTTTAAATACCTGTACCTGTAAATATTTTCTTCATTGTGTTGAGAAATAAAGCAGATACTGAATGATTATGTATTATTCTCTACCAGTACTAGTAAATTTTTCTTTAAAATGTGTTTTTCTACATTACTACACAAATAATATAAAACAACAGGTGAAATGCCATTTAAACAAATAAGATTAACAAATTTGACAAATAATCAATGAAAATCATATGATATGCATAGGGTTCAATATAAAAGTTCACATATCAAATCCAAGACTAAAACTAACAAATTCAAGATCAAAGATCACATTCTTTAAAGAAGCTAGTAAAATCATACATTGACTATAAACAATGTCAAGGAAACATTTGATGTGTGATAAATGATTAAGAAATCAGGCTTACATTAAGAAGTTTTGCATAAAGTATGAGTGTATGAGCTGCCTCGGTAAAGTTGTCACAGTCTAAATGCATGTTATGTAGTTTGTGTAGGTATCTCACGTACATCTCTTGCCTGCCTATCTCATTGTAGAAATCCTGAAATACATCAACGATATTTGTTTGTACTTGTGTGAGAAGAAATCTTATTTCAGTGAGGGAGTATAGAGCTTTAAAAACAGTGCGAGTATTCTATACAATAAGTGTTTTCGAAGCTAATAAGATGAACTAAAATTACATCTTACACACTAAAAACACAACAAAAAGAACAACAAGTTTTCTTTTTTATTTGACGCTTAATTTCGAGTTTGAATAAAAAGATATCATATCTTGAAAATTAAAATATGAACAAGAGGGCCATGATGGCCCTGAGGTCGCTCACCTGTATATAGCCCCCCCCCCAGGCCAATTTTTACCCAAGGGCTTTTATTTGAACAGACTTGGTAGACACCCATAAGAAGATGTTTCATGCTAAACATCTAAGTTCTAGCTCATTGGGGTTTTTAAAAGAAGATTTTTTAAGTTTTTACTATACACATATAGTTAAAAACAATGAAACCTCTGGGGCAGGGCCAGTTTTGACCCCCGGGCTTTTATTTGAACAAACTTTGTAGATATTTACTTAAAAATGTTTCATGTATAATATCTAAACTCAAGCTATTTGGGTTTTTTCAAAGAAGATTTTCAAGTTTTTGCTATACACATATAAGGAAAATCAATGACCCCCGGGGCGGGCCAGTTTTGATCCCAGGGCTTTTATTTGAACATACTTGGTAGACACCTATTAGAACATGTTTCATGCTAAATATCTTAGCTCTAGCCCTTTGAGTTCTTTAAAAGAAGATTTTTTAAGTTTTTACTATATGCATATAGGGAAAATCAATGACCCCCTGGGGCAGGGCCAATTTTGACCCCAGGGCTTTTATTTGAACAAACTTGGTAGACATTCAATAGAAGATGTTTCATGTCAAATATCTAAGCTCTAGCTCTTACGGTTCTTTAAATGAAGATTTTTTAAGTTTTTACTATATGCATATAGGGAAAATCAATGACCCCCCGGGGCGGGGCCAATTTTGACCCCAGGGCTTTTATTTGAACAAACTTGGTAGACACTCACTAGAAGATATTTCATGTCAAATATCTTAGCTCTAGCTCTTTGGGTTCTTTAAAAGAAATGGGTTCTTTAAAAGAAGATTTTTTAAGTTTTTACTATATGCATATAGGGAAAATCTATGACCCCCTGGGGCAGGGCCAATTTTGACCTCAGGGCTTTTATTTGAACAAACTTGGTAGACACTCATTAGAAGATGTTTCATGCTAAATATCTTAGCTCTAGCTCTTTGGGTTCTTTAAAAGAAGATTTTTTTAAGTTTTTACTATATGCATATAGGGAAAATCAATGACCCCCTGGGGCTGGGCCAATTTTGACCCCAGGGCTTTTATTTGAATAAACTTGGTAGACACTCACTAGAAGATGTTTCATGCCAAATATCTAAGCTCTAGCTTTTACAGTTCTTTAAAAGAAGATTTTTTAAGTTTTTACTATATGCATATAGGGAAAATCAATGACCCCCCGGGCCGGGGCCAATTTTGACCCCAGGGCTTTTATTTGAACAAACTTGGTAGACACTCACTAGAAGATGTTTCATGCCAAATATCTTAGCTCTAGCTCTTTGGGTTCTTTAAAAGAAGATTTTTTAAGTTTTTACTATATGCATATAGGGAAAATCAATGACCCCCTGGGGCCGGGCCAATTTTGAACCTAGGGCTTTTATTTGAACAAACTTGGTAGACACTCATTAGAAGATGTTTCATGCCAAATATCTAAGCTCTAGCTCTTATGGTTCTTTAAAAGAAGATATTTAAAGATTTTTCTTTCGGTTGCCATGGCAACAAGAGTTCTGCATGAAATGGAATTCTTTGAACAATCTTGATAGAGCTTCATACAAAGAGTATTCCTGCCAAGTTTCATTAACATTGGCTTTGCGGTATCATAGAAGATGTCTTTAGAATATTTAAAATGTGGACGGACGACTGACGACGGACGCCATTTGGTTGGCCATCCTAAAAGCTCACCTGCACTTTGTGCAAGGTGAGCTAAAAATCCACAACATTACAGCAAAGATTTAATTTTTTTAAATTTTTTATTTGTTGGGTTTTCACATTGCGCCAACATAGAACAAGTTATATGGTGACTTTCTAGCTTTACAAGTGGAGGAAGACCTAAGGTGCCCCTTTGTGCATTATTTCAAGCCAAATGGGTGCAAAGATTATAAATAAGATTTATTAATTTGGGGTCAAAAAGACCATTGCCATTGTGTAGACATGTAAATCATTATTCAAGACCTTTTTACACTTTGAACGCTAGTCACCAAAATTGTAGACCTATGTATAAGTAATACAACCAGGACATCATGCAGTCAAACCAAACTCTATATTTTTGGCTGATCAATTTCAATACTTTGACAAGAGTACCACATACAATGTTAACGCTAGTCTGTTAAAATAACCACTTTCAACAAAAATTCTACATTAAAAAGGGGCATAACTGCAAAAATATAGTTTACAGAATTATGCCTAAATATAGTTTACAGAATTATGCCTCTTGTCTTTTATATTGATACCATTTAAATTGTTTGGTCAACATTTAAGTTTTGCATGACAACAATGATGCCACAGTGATCATACTAGCTCATCTTTTTCTTCGAAACAGACAAGCTAAAAATGAAATCTTTTAAACTACTACTAGTAACAGAAAATTTTAACTTTAATCATGATACATCCATTATACATATATAGGAGGGTGAAAGTTTCTAATTATTAAAAATCACTGACCAGTTCACACATTTCGGAAGGTAAAATTTTCTAATAGTTATAAATCACTGACCAGTAAGTTAACAATACAGCTCATTCGATGATCTTTTATCTCGTCCTGAATAATGTGACGATACTCAAGCAATCTCTGTAACAATTTGGTGATCATCTCAACAAATTCCAATCCCTGTTTGCGAATTAAATCTGACCCGCTGCACAGATTTAATAACCTGTAAAATAACATTACGTCATTATGGGTCTTTCTATTTTAAATTATGTCTCAAAATAAACAAGGTACAGTAAAGACAATTAATTCCTGTAGCTTATTCATTTTACATGTACTACAATAGAAGTGAAAAGAGTAATATAAACTGTTGAGCAAGGATATTTGTCTCTAGATTTAACTATAGTAAACTTCACTTATAACAAAATTCAGGGTCGCCAAATCTATATCATTATTTCCGGATATTGTTACATCCAAGAGGCAACCAAGTTGAAAGCAAGAGTCTGGACTATGGCAACAGCATTGTTATAAGGGATATTGTTATGAGTGGAGTTTACAGTAGCATAGAATACATATTACATTTAAAAGCCATTCTAAACCAGGTTATTTTTGAAAAGCAGATTTTTAAAGGTTTTCCTGAGAATATGATTTGAATTTTTCTTTAAAGACTACCTCACAAATTAAAATTGCTTTCAAGTTTGATTAAAATTGGTTCCTTTGATAAGATATTACTTATAAACATATAGCAGATGGACAGCTACATGTAACTGCTAGAAATTATCATTTCCTACTGCTTATATAGCTAGAAATACTTTAACCCATTACTTCATGAGCATTTTGTGAAAAATGGCTGTTTTCATTGAAAAGTCTCCCGTTACAAGTTCAAATTGCTATAATACTAAAAAAACTGCTTCAACACTAATCAAACTTGGCACAAATGTTGACTGGACCATTGCCTTTGCAACAACATGCTCAGGCTTAAATTTTCTGTTACCATGGCAACGAGGGGACATCTCAAAATTGCCTAAAATCACTATTTTGCGTTGATTTTTTCCATCAAAATTGATTTCAAAGTGCTGCAACTTCTCAATGGATTGAGATAGAGTCAAATGCTTTTCAGCGTTGGTTACACGTTACCTTATGATCAATCTGGGGTCATTTACAGCCTCTCACAAGTCCAAAATTTTCTTGGCGATGAGGGGGACTGCCGCCCCCCTTCAAACCCCCCAAACAGAAGGGGGCACATCCCCCTTCTGGCAACCCCCTGATGTATCTTTTGGTTGGGGGGCCGCGCCGAAAAAGAGGTCACTTTTTTTAATAACATTTCTCAAACAAAAACAAGTATTTGGGGCCTAAATAAGGCATTTTTTCATCATTTGAGACAACAAAAAGGGGGGGGGGGGGAAAAAGGCGTTAAAAGGCGTGTATATGAAGTAATGGTTTGGTATATTGTATATTTAATGATCTACTTACGTATCTTTGAAGAGCTGCATGTACTGCTCGTCACCACGACCTCCCTCTACCAGAACATCCATTTGATTAATCATCTCATTCTCCACCTGGAATATTATATTAAAACACATTAACATGTCAAATGTAACTCTTTCAAAGCGACTATGTTACTATTGTCGTCCTTAAACCTTATTGTCCTGAAAGTGATTAGCTTTTGCTACCAGTACAGAAACATGCAACCTAATCAGGCTCTATACTATTGGTTCAAAAGATAAAACAAATATTTAATATGCAGGTACATTTGTCTGGTATTCAACTGTTAAAGAGGACCTCTATTGTTTTTTGGAACATGTATACCAATGACTTCACATCACATATAAATTTTTTATTAGAACTTTGCCAGGGAAAAAGCTAGACTAGTATCTTATAAATGATCCCCTGAGTACAGAAGTCAGTATGTATCAGCAATAGACCACAGGGGTCATAATGGTAGTACATAATGACCAAATCAACATCATAAACAAACAAAAATAAATACCCAGAAATCATGTTATAAACTGACGAAAAAGTCTTACCTCTTTAAAGTTGCCTTTTATTCCTTTCTGGGATGGCTGGTTAAACTCACATACCATCATGTCAAAGAAAATTGGAATTGTAGCTTTTCTTAACTCTGTAATAAATAAATCACAAATTAGTTTTAAAAAAAATAATTTGTCATAGAAGCCATTTTTATCATTTACTACTAAAATCTAAAAATCCTTCAAAAATATGTATGCTTTCAAGCATACTGATATACTGAAATACTGAAAGCATACTGAAGAGATGTAAAGATCCCTAAGAACAGACCTGTTTCTGGAATAAGTGTCATTTCCAACAATGGACCAACCATCTCTGGTATAAATGATTTCTTGTTGTTACCTGAAAACACATAACGGTAAATCATATCAAATAGTATAGAAACAGCAAAAAATATTTTCTTTTGCTGGTATTTAACACCAGTTCAACAGTTAACTTCAGTTAAATACCGGCAGGCACTACTTTTACAAATGTCCTAGGATTCAGTACCAGTACTGCTCTGCATTTCCTTAAGTAACTTCTTACATTATTCAAAACAACAGTGAAGAGTAATTGGCATAAAGCGTTGTCATCAACTACTATGGAAAAACTTGTTCATGGATCACAATTCCGATAAGCAATTCCATGTAATGTAAACCCATATGCTCTCTTATCCAGAATATCAAGCCCGGCACCCATATATATTAGACAACTTTCATTTTTCCATTCATTTTTTAAAGAAATATATGCATTTTATGAAATGAAGTAAGCTGATTTGCTCATTCAGAATATGTGATAATTGTTTAAAAAAGAGCTGTCGGTAGGACAGCAACGCTCGACTATTCTTAGTGCTTGATAGTAAAAAAAAATGCTTGATAGAGTTACCTCCTCCTGTTTACAGGTTGGGGTCATGATGGTGAACAAGTGTGCAAAGTTTCAAAGCCATATGTCAATGGACTTTGAAAATATTTGAACTATTACAAAAACTTTAACGTAAATTCTAAGTCGAAAAAGGGGCATAATTCTGTCAAAATGCTTGATAGAGTTACCTCCTTCTGTCTACAGGTTGGGGTCATGATAGTGAACAAGTGTGCAAAGTTTCAAAGCCATATGTCAATGGACTTTGAAAATATTTGAACTGTTACAAAAACTTTAACGTAAATTCTAAGTTGAAAAAGGGGCATAATTCTGTCAAAATGCTTGATAGAGTTACCACCTCCTGTCTACAGGTTGGGGTCATGATGGTGAACAAGTTAGCAAAGTTTCAAAGCCATATGTCAATGGACTTTTAAAATATTTGAACTATTACAAAAACTTTAACATAAATTCTAAGTCGAAAAAGGGGCATAATTCTGTCAAAATGCTTGATAGAGTTACCTCCTCCTGTCTACAGGTTGGGGTCATGATGGTGAACAAGTGTGCAAAGTTTCAAAGCCATATGTCAATGGACTTTGAAAATATTTGAACTATTACAAAAACTTTAACATAAGTGGTTACGCCGACGCCGACGCTCGGGTGACTGCAATAGCTCTACTTATTCTTATCGAATAGTCGAGCTAAAAATACATTTATTAAGTCAAGATCAACTTGTTTTGTTTTCTCATTAGTTTTATGTGGGTAGTAATGGCAAGTACAATAAAACTGTTAAGATTAAAAATATGTCAATTCTTTTCTTCTCCTTCCTACTATAGAAAGAATGTTTTATAATTTTAAGCTTACCATAACCTTTTATTGTCAGCATCAATATAGGTGAAAAAGAAATGAACTTAACTTACCGAGACCTTTCCACATTGACCTGATTTCAAACCCCATCTCTCTCCTCATATCTTTGTACTTTGAGATGATTTTGTTTCGTTTACTTGCCGAGAAATTCTCTAGCTGTAGGTGATCCTGGGTGAGGAACGATATTGCACAATGGAAAAAGTTGTTCCACAACTGAAATAAGAAAGCAAAATATATTCAAATCCATCCAGTGAGCTCCAGGGAGTAATTACTGGCTTTATGCACCCAGCCAGACAGGTCTTCACCTAATACTGTGACAATATTTTAAAAATAACCAGCTCTCAGGGTATTTGTTAAAATGATCTAAAGTCAATAACACTGTCCACTTAGGATCTTAAAACTTGTTTCATAATCCAGCCTAAATTAAACTTTTAATTATACTTTGTTGAAGTTGTTCCTTGCATATTGTCTTACTATTTATTATCAATCAAGTCTAAGCTTTACTGGTGGTGAAAGACCTCAGGTGCCCTTTCGTTCATTATTTCAGGCAGGAATGGGCACCTGAGTAGAACCATTGACGATCCATAAGCTTGCTGGATACCTTCCTCACATTAAAGAATCCAAAGTCCCTGTCAGGATTTGAACCCACATTGGTGAGAGGCAAGTGGTTTGAACCCCTTGACCACGGATGCCACTTACAAAATAACATTTAATTATAGGAAGTACAATAGTAAATCTAAAATATCATACCTGATATTGGAATGGATTTGAAAATCTATCACTAATGGTGTGAGCAAAACATCGCAAGGCACGTAAAATGATGCTGAAATAAAATAAAGAGATAAGTCTAAAAATTAATACAAATTCAACCATACCTTTACAACATATCACCTCTAAACAAAAACCATACAACGGAAACCTGTCAAGTAAGATAAAAATATTTCCCATGAAAAATATTATAGTGCAATGTTACTTGCTTCTAAAAAGTTCCTGTCCAAAAAGACCACTTTGTTTCAATTTAATTTATAAATAGGTAAGAACGTTACAAAATATGATGAGACTATTAATATCTCTTTTTTACTGTTATACTCCTCTTATTATAAAACATTCATATAATTTTGTATAAAAAAATTGCTGAGTCATTAAGCATGACATTTCCCCACCCACCTGTTTTGTAACATGATCATTTCCATCCAGTCATGCTGGTAGACACTAGAAGTGATGAGGTTCTGGAACAACATCATTATTTCCATGAGAAAATCCTCGAGATCTGTCAACAGGGTGTAGCGACTGATGTAGCTCACATACTGGGCCTCGCTCATTTGACGTAAAATATTCAACAACACAGCCACACAGTCGCCCTATAGAAACATATATATTTTGTCAGATTAGTTCCCAAGTACTTATTATGAATATGCTAGGGCTAATCACCAAACCATATTTTACATGCATAATAGATTCTACAGGCAAGTTATAGGTCTATATAGTAAATCTTGTAGTTTTCAACTAAAGAAGTTAACATTAGTTGCAGGAGACATATAACTTGAATACATGACATATATAACTTGAATGCTAAGCAAGAAGAATTTTTTTCTATGCAAGGTATAATACATGTATATTAGGCCTATTTGTCACTATCAAACAATAAGCTACATTATTATCATTCATAAATTCATTGATTCAATTCATTCATCAATTTTCTAACATCATTTTTTTCCATTTAAACTCAAGTTTAAAATGTTGATAAAAGCTGAAACTCTGAGACAGTATTTACTTATTTTACTTTAATAACATCTAATTATAAGATCGTAAAATAAAATCAAAGTTACAAAACGATACTGAAAAGCAGAATTAAATATTGAATCACTTTAAAAACTTAATTCCTACAAAAAAACAACAAAAAACAATGCATAACAGAGATACTATTTAAAACACAACTGTTGCTCTAGTTACAATTATAGTGACCTTTCATACAAAATGTATCACCTTCAAACATATTACATAATCTAATTAAGAACAATGAGTACTGATTTCTGTTAATTTGTACACATGGTCTCTATTATCTTTAATATTTTCACATACAGCTTTTATATGAAAAGTCACCTTCAAATAATCAGAAGTAATAAAATAATAACTACAAAGAAATTTATATAATTCCATATTCATAAAATTTGCAAATTGAAATCTATATGCCAGCTTATGAGGAGATGCTATTTGATATTCTGTGAGGATAATACTAAATGATATTCTATGAGGGCGTTGCTATAATTGATATTCTATGAGGGCATTGCTATTTGATATTCTGTGAGGGCAATGCTAAATGATATTCTATGAGGGCATTGCTATATGATATCTAAGTGAAAGATGCTATTTGAACTCTATGGGAGACATTTACATTGTTAGCTTTGGATAAGGGTAAAAAGAATATCAATTAAATAAATACTAAGCTAAACTTATAATAAAAACAAAACATAAACAACTTGATCAACATCACATTTACCACATAGGTGCCAAACAATTCATCAATGTACTCTGACACAAGTGTGTACACACTAAAGCTGAATCACAACATGATTATAACATATCTGTGTATTTGCACACATGCACAAACATTCATCAACATAAACAACAGCTTTACATGTGCTATTTACTGAATACATACACTCAATTTCTTTGCTTTTCTTGTCTGTAAGAAGAATCACATTTCAAGATTTGTCAAATGTTCAATTCTTGTATCAGTTATTCTAATAAATGTGACTTCCATTATATTGAGCCCTATTGTCACAGTGTGAGAAAAATGTGAAATCTGGTGCTAGGACCCTTGGAATACACAACATGGCTCTACATACTGAGCTATCTGGCTGCTAACACTTCTTCTTCCTTATCTATACAATTATTATACTTAATATAGTACAAAACAAGAGCACCGCTAGGCGGAGCATTATATGCCCGAAGGTGATTTTTTTTTTAGTAAGGATGAAGCATTTGTAAGACATGGGAGTAAAATAAAGTATTACCTCTTTAAAATATAATCCTCCTTTGAAGTTTCAATATTGTGGTCCAAATGGAACTTTAAGTTATGCCCCAGAAACTGTTTTCAATTCTAAGGTAAAAGTGACCTTGACCTTTGACCTTGTGACCCCAAAATCACTAGGGGTCTTCTACCCAATATGGACAATCATACTATGAAGTTTAAACACAGTAGGCCAAATGATACTTAAGTTATGTTCCGAAAACTGTTTTCAGTTTTAAGGTAATAGTGACCTTGACCTTGTGACCCCAAAATCAATAGGGGTCTTCTACCAAATATGGACAATCATCCTATGAAGTTTGAATATTGTAGGCTAAATGGAACTTAAGTTATGCTTAAGAAACTGTTTTCAATTTCTAAGTAATAGTGACCTTGACCTTTGACCTTGTGACCCCAAAATCAATAGGGGTTTTCTACCCAATATGGACAATCATCCTATGAAGTTTGAACACTGTGGGCCAAATAGAACTTAAGTTATGCTCCAGAAACTGTTTTTCAATTTTAAGGTCATAGTGACCTTAACCTTTGACCTATGACCCCAAAATCAATAGGGGTCTTCTACCCAATATGGACAATCATCCTATGAAATTTGAACACTGTGGGCCAAATGGAACTTAAATTATGCTCCGGAAACAGTTTTCAGTTTTAAGGTCATAGTGACCTTGACCTTTGATTTTGTGACCCCAAAATCAATAGGGGTCTTCTACCCAATATGGACAATCATCCTATGAAGTTTGAACACTGTAAGCCAAATGGAACTTAAGTTATGCTCCGAAAACTGTTTTCAGTTTTAAGGTCATAGTGACCTTGACCTTTGACCTTATGACCCCAAAATCAATAGGGGTCTTCTACCCAAAATGGACAATCATCCTATGAAGTTTGAATATTGTGGGCCAAGGGGAACTTAGGTTATGCTCCGGAAACCAAATTGCTAACGGAGGACGGACGGACAGACGGACGGACGCCAGGGGGTATAACATAATATGTCCAAAATTCTTTCGGGCATATAAAAATGGGTCTAAACAATGATGTCATAGTAGAGACTGAGTAATTTACCAAGTATGCACAACAACAGAAGATGGAATTGAATGAAAAAAAGATATTTAAGCAAAATTATCTAATGGATAAACAATCGTTATAAAATGATAAAAGAATATAATTTACAATGTAAGTAAGAAAAAGCACTACACTGGTGTTAGTTGAATATTTTACTATTTTAGCAGCTCTTCTTGTAATCAATTTCTATTCTAACTACTACAGCTATATCTTGGTATACATGTGTTTATTCTTTTAGTTTAGAAGATGATTAACAATACTGACAGACTTTCTTGTACATGAAAATATGATTGACCAAACAGGATTTTTTTTAATTGCCTGGTACATAAATGACCTTGACCTATAGAACATCAGAATTTCAAATAATGTAAACCTGATTTTTCTTTACGCATAAGACACATTAATAAGTGTCTTTACTTGTTCTGATTTCCGTAACTTTAAATTGCTTTTACTTTGCTGTTGTGCGACAGGTCTAGCAATACTATAAAACCTGTTCGCTGAAGTCTCTTTATTCAATGACTCTGACCTTGATTGCATTCTTCCTTGAAAACACATATAATACTGACCTTTTCTGTATTTATACTGTAATGATACTGGCTTTGCCACGGTGCCAGATACATTTTACAAGACAGTAGACACGTGCAATGTTCCTTTTTACCCATATTTTTATTTATACATGTAGTTACATTAATCTTCCAAAAAGCCTACCTTTATGACACAAATGGCTTTGACCTCAACTACTCATTAAAGCTTAAAAAATTAAAAGGGAATTAAAGATATATATTGACTAGGACTGTTAATAATTTGAAAGTAAAAAAAGGTGACAAAATGTTATTTTCATTTTAGAACCTTCAATTTTAATACCATCTATAATCAACAATCATTTAAGACAAAATGGATTATATAACGGTAAAATGGGTTCAATGATTACTTATGGATATTGGCAAAAATAATACAGTAATTTTATCATGATTCTAGCAATGCTGTGTGCAGTGAGGGGCGTATTACATCAGACTCATTCATATAGCTAGTGGTGGTAACAACTTACCCCTGTCACAATTATCCTTAAACCTGCTGAATTTATAAAATGTCCTGCTTCTTTTTCTGGAACTGTCGATTATGAATTTTGGGGATGTCAAGATGAAAATTTAAAGGTAAGTCAGCCAACAGTATAGAGCCTGGTCAAACTGCACAGAAATCTGACCTGGCTCTAAACTGGTGGAAAAGGCATATCACTTCCTGTTCTATCATGGTAAGTGTTTACTGTACATCTATACAGTTTTATCAGACACAGGACTATTGTCTGTTACATACACACAATAATTTTGGCCATTAAATGTTTGTTTTTGTTATCTCTGAGATATGAATATTCATATAACCCCATCCAAACCCCACCCCCACCCACCTTTTCTGCACCCCCACCTCCCATTTGCCCTATCAGCAACCCCCACTGCACATTTGATTTATAAGGTTATAACAGAGCAGGTCACCTTTATTTCTACACAATCCTCAAATTCCGCCATGTTCTCCTTTAAATAATGTATAAAAGGTTTTGAAAGAAAGATATAGCATTATTTGTTCCTGTTGTACTAAATATGTCTTTTAAATATAAACTCAGAATTATTCACCTCCATTGTTATTATAAAGAATCTGCAATGGCTCTTTTAAATAATTAACATGATCTTTGTAGATAAAGTACCAGTTTAATATTTTTTCTTTAAACAAAACATAATTTCATAGTCTTTTTCATATGACATAAAAATAAAGATGTTCTCTGAATAATGAAGAGGTTCCTGAAACAAAATTGTTACTTAAACACAGAAGTATTTTAAGCTATATTTTGATGTCTGAAGCTTTGTTTTTAGATGTAAAATCATACCTAAGTACCTAAATCATACTGAAGGCCCTACATTGGAAAAAAAGATGATTATAAATTTCTGACGACCGCATAGGAGAAACTTCATCATTATATCTTACACACAACAGAAGCTAAATATTTTATAAGGGAATATTACTTCACCTTTTCTAAGTTATTCATATATGTTAATTCAAAGTGAAAACATTTTGTTAAAACTCTCTCTAAATATGACCTGTTAACAACATAAATGTTTGTTTTTGAAATTTCTACATAATATATTGGCAGTAACAGCTGTACATAATTTAATAAGAAGACTTCCTTTGAAAAGCAGAGTTAACTTATAATAGTATGTTTTTAAGTTTTTATAAGTTTTTTTTCTAGTAAATAATTTAATCTTCAATACTTTAGCACATTTTATGATATTGATGTTAACACCAAGAGAAGAACAAGGTAAGTTACCATTTTAAAAACGTTTAGCAGAGAAAGTTGTAAAAGTTGAAGAAAAGATGATAATGATGCATGTTATAACTAATGGATACTTCAATGGTTACCATATTGTTCTCCTTTTGCCACTTATGATAAATTTTGCCACATTTGGAAAACAGAATTAATATCATTAAAAAGCATTTGCCATGACCCACTATTCCCTTAACAACTTAAGTTTAGCTTTAACCTGCTGATTTTATGTTATGGACTTGCCTTCCTTTGAATTTGGAACAGTCCATTCAAAGTGTAAGGGATTGAGTTAACAAAATGCAAAAATTGGACTACTAACAGTATTACATACAGCCTGATCAGACTCCGTGCAATTTTAAATTCTACAGGATAAGGATTAAGTTTCCATTAGTTATCTCATTCCATAAAAAGACAGAATACTCTTACAATTTGATAAGGCTTTAACAATGCAAAAAGATTGGGAAGTCTGAGAATCAGAGGAAAAGTCAAAATTCTCACATAGCATGTTTTTAAATTCAGATGAGGAAGGAAAAAAAATCACATCTTTACAATACTTAAGTTCAAAGGTGTGTAATACATATTTCTTAGGTATAATATATGACATTAAAGACCAAATTGGTTTGTTTACATGTGTCACATAATAATAATAATGAATAATTAATGTCAGAAATTACAAAAGTCAATTAATGGTTTTCTATTTATGAATGTAAAGTTGGAGAGAAATCTCTTTTAAATACTTTTCCATCAGTGAATTGCAAAAAAATATCCATGACAGTTGATAGTTAACAAAACAATCTTTAAACTGACCAATCAGCTTCATGATTTCTGAAAGCTTTGGTAGTATATCTTTTAGATTTTATTTAAAATTACTAACTTTGCTTAATTCCCTTTCCAATATTGTAAGAAATTCACCTAAAAATTCAGCTTTATAATTAATAAGTGAAAAAACAAAAACACTGTTTATGAAATCAAAGCAGTAATTAAGCAAGGTAACTTACAGCATGTGTTTTGATTGTAGTTTGTATCACAGTCCGTAAAATAATCTCCATAATTGTACCTACATCATTCTCATGGTATAACTGAAATAAAATGCATATTTGTTACTGTATAATTGAAATATACCACATATTTGTCATGGTTTAACTGAAATATAACACATATTTGTTATGTTATAACTGAAATATATCACATAATTGTCATGGTTTTAATGAAATATAACACATATTTGTCATGGTATAATTAAAATATAATAGAGAAAAACTGAATCCGTAAGAACACCCAAAAATGTAAAATTGAAAATGTTGCAGGCTCAGTTTGATTATGCCTGTCAATGTATCTTAAGTCCATTAAATAATCCCTCACCACAATTTAAACACTTCAAAGGTTATTGCATTTAAGTGTTTGAAGAAGTTATCCAACACTCTTTAGTGGTTCAATTTACTTGCATTTTCTTCATAGAAGGGTGCATGTAGACATCCTTTCCTAGAAACGCTAGACAATCAACATAAGGCCTTAACAATGTCATTATAACTTTACACCCAACCATGAAACAAAATCAGTGAGAAAAGAGTTGAAATCAATGTCAATGTTATGTCTTGTTAATTAATATTTCCTGTATCTCAAGCATTTCCCATTGACAGATAAATTACACATTTGAATAAGAAGAAACACCCTAAATGGTAAAAGGAAAATTATCATTGCCATGGTTACAAATTATTCAACAATTTACAAGAGAACAACAGCTACCCTAAATTTGTAACATGAAGATACATACTGGTTTACTTGGGTTAAACAAATGGTCCATTATACTGCTCAGCACTTTAATACAAGCAGACATTTCATCCTGAGCTTCCATCATATCACGTATTTGGCAAAGCATCATGGGAAGCAGAACTTCCCTGCATTCTCTTTTAGAAAACAGCTCTGTCTGCACAAGATCTTCGAAGAACTTGATCTTCTGAATCTTAAGGCGACTCTTTGGCACATGGTTCAAGAACTCCACAAACAATTGACTGTAAGGTTAAAATGCACAAATCTGATGATAACACATTCTTGAAGAATACTATTCAATAATTATCTATTTCATTCTTAAAGGCACATTATGCTTCAGAAACAAATATTTTTTTCTTCTTTACAAAAGGCAAACATTAGTTTTATAACATTGAAATAATAGTTTTAGAGCTAAGAGCATGTTAGATGCTTATTACCTGAAGAAAAATGTGCCAAATGTAAAATTATTTGTTATAAAAATAGCAAAATGTAAACAAAGTATTATTTTGACTTCCATACAAAATATTAAGTCACTATAACTATACTTATTTCCAAAGGGTAACAGAATCAAAGTATGGTTGAAAAACTTGCCAATGAGGTTTTTTTTAAAACTGTACAGGACACCAAAGATAACAAGCAATTATCGTAGTATTGCAAGCAATCCAGAAGTCCCCTACTGGTTAGAACCCCAGCAACATTCTGAAGGGCCATTGGCCATTCACTTATGTTTCTATTTTAAGTAAATTTGTTGAAAAAGTTCTTTAAAAGTGATCACAGGAAACAATTTTTATGTACAGACAGACGGACTGAAGGACACTCTACAGTTATTTTTTAAACATCCCTGTTATCAAAATATAACATTTTTAAAAGCAATTTTTTTTAAAAAGGAGATAACTCTTGAAATAAAGATGCAAGATGTCATACGTGATGTGAGTGTAACAAAGAACAATTAGTAACGAAGGTATGAATAATGAATGTTTATTCTGAATTTGAAGTAAATGAAAGTTAAAAGAACAAATAGGAAAAATTAAAAGTTTAAGGAGGAGATTATTCTGGAAATATGGATGCTAGATTTATAAACCTTGTCATAATTATTATTATGATGTGGGAGTTTGAAGAAAATCCTATCATGATTGAAGAAGTTGGAGTAAAAATTACCAATTTCTCAAAAAAGTACAAAAAGGGGCATAATTCTGGAAATAGTCTTGGGAGGTAATTCTGATAAATTTTGTCCTAGAGTTGTAAACATTGTCACATATGATGTGGTTGATAACTAGCAACTTATATTTAAAGTTTGAAGAAAATACCTTAAGAAATAAAGAACTTATAGTGAAAAAACTTAAAAACTAGAATAAGAAATCTTGAAATTCAGTCTATTTGTTGCCAGAGCAACCAGAATTTTCAACATAGGAAGATAAGAAAAGGATGTTCATAATTTCCATACTGCCATCTACCCATATGTCAAGTTTCATAAAAAATATTTTCAGTACTTTTTGTGTTATCGCAGGATCCAGGTTATGTGTAAAATTTGCCATATTTTCAGTCTATTTGTTGCCATAGCAACCAGAATTTTCAGCATAGGAAAAAAAGAAAAAGACGTGCATAATCTACATACTGCCATCTATCCATATATTAAGTTTCATTAAAATATTTTCAGTACTTTTTGTGTTATCGCGGGATCCAGGTTATGTGTAAAATTTGCCATATTTACAGTCTATTTGTTGCCATAGCAACCAGAATTTTCAACATAGGAAGAAAAAAAAAGACGTGCATAATCTCCATACTGCCATCTATCCATATATCAAGTTTCATTAAAATATTTTCAGTACTTTTTGCATTATCGCGGGATCCAGTTTTGTGCACGGACAGACTGACGGACAGACAGACGGACGTACCAAAATTTGATGTTTATGAGGCAAATTAGCTCATAAACACCACCTGAACCAATGTCCGACGGACTGACGGACGGACGGACAGACGGACGGAGGGTAAACCTAAAGTCCCCTCCGGTAAACCGGACGGACTGACGGAAGTTCTCACAGGACAGTAATTATGTGGCTACTCTATTGTTCTCTCTATTGTTCTTTTTAGCCACACAAAAGAAAATAGCCACATAAAAGCATTACGGAATGAATGACATCAAAGAGAAAGAACAGTTACCTATTGTCCCTCTAGCCACATAATTACTGTCCTGTGAGTGCGGACAGACAGACGGACGGACGGACGGAGGGTAAACCTAAAGTCCCCTCCGGTAAACCGGTAGGGGACTAAAAAGCTTTTGATAAATAAAAGTAAAAGCATTTCTGGGGCATAATGGGTGTTTAAGACAAAGTAACAACACAGGTAAAATAAAATATAAGCGTGTATAGATCTACATTTAATCTTTTGAATGATTTTTCTTTTTAAAATTGTCACAACAATTTCTTAATGTAAATAAATAATAATAACAATTTCAAAATCATGAAATTAATCTTTTTCTTTTACAATAAATTACCTAAGTTCCACGGCATTGAAGACTTTGAGTATATCTGAAATAGTTGCTGGCATGTTTCGTAAGGCATATCCCTGAGCTCTGACTGTCCTGTCTGAGGTATAAAGCATCATGCCACCTATGGACTGTATCAACTGTTTTAACATGATCTCAAACTGCTGCTTCCCACGATTCTCATTCAACCTATCATATATATAATATACAAATGAGCCGCGTCACGACAAAACCATCATAATGGGTTTGCGACCAGCATGGATCCAGACCAGCCTGCGCATCCGCGCAGTCTGATCAGGATCCATGCTGTTCGCTATCAGTTTCTCTATTTGTTATAGGGTCTGTAAGCGAACAGCATGGATCCTGATCAGACTGCGCGGATGCACAGGCTGGTCTGGATCCATGCTGGTCGCAAACCCATTATGTTGGTTTTGTCGTGACACGGCTCAAATGTATTAACATGTGGTTTATTTTTATATTAACATTTGATATTTTCAACATCATCAATTAGGGAGTGGTCATCTGTAATATGCCATAACATTCATAACAAGTTATCACATGTGACATATAGAGGATATTGAATGAGTGTAGGTTTAATTCTAAATTTATTGAACCAGTTGAATAATATCATATTATGCAAGCATCTGGCGAGCATAATACCGTTTTATTCAACAAGTTCAATAAATTTAGTATTGAATCTACATGAATATAATATTCTATGTATCACAAATCGAAAATGATAGCAATTAACAGATAACTAGAACTCCGCGAGTCGGATGTGTCGCCTTGTGAACAATGTAGTTTAGGGGAAATGGCCAGGACAAAAATGAAATATGAAAAATAACAAAGGGCAATAACTAAAAAAATAATACTTGCAGAGCAGCAGTTTCTGTACACTGCACTTCTTATCAAATTCTATGATGTTTCAAGTCCATAGCTTTCATACTTGAGGAGAAATGACCAGGACAAAAATAAAGTAAGAAAATCAACAAAGGGCAATAACTCAAAAATAAGAAATGCAGAGTATCAGTTCTTATGCACTGCACTTCTTTTTAATGAGATCTATCATCCTATGAAGTTTCAAGTCCATAACTTTTATACTTTCGGAGAAATGGCCTGGACAAAAATTAAGTATGAAAATTAACAAAGGGCCATAACTCAAAAATTAAGAAATGCAGAGTACAGATTCTTGTGCACTGCACTTCTTAATAATGAGATCTATCATCCTATGAAGTTTCAAGTCCATAGCTTTTATACTTAAGGAGAAATGGCCCGGACAAATTTAAAGTATGAAAATAAACAATGGGCAATAACTCAAAAAATAAAAAATGCAGAGTACCAGTTCTTGTGCACTGCACTTCTTCTTAATGAGACCTATGATCCTATGAAGTTTCAAGTCCATGGCTTTTATACATTAGGAGAAATGGCCCAGACAAAAATAAAGTATGAAAATTAACAAAGGGCAATAACTCAAAAATTAGGAAGTGCAGAGTACTGGTTCTTGTGCACTGCATTTCCTCTTAATGAGATCTATCATCCTATGAAGTTTCAAGTCCATAGCTTTTTTAGTTGAAGAGAAATGGCCCGGACAAAATTAAAGTATAAAAATTAAAAAAGGGCAATAACTCCAAAAATAAGAACTGCAGAGTACCGGTCTTTGTGCACTGCACTTCCGGTTATTGAAAGAAGCATGCATACCAAGTTTGAAGTCAATCAGACTTATAGTGACTGAGTTATGCTCCGGACAAGCTTTAGGGGACGCCGACAACGACGCCGACACCGCCGCCGACACCGCCGACAAAAGTAACCCCTATATGTCACCTTTTCAAGGCGACACAAAAACAGCAATTTTTCGTTTGCGTGCCTAAAGCGTATTGTTAACATTAGAGCGCTTTAATGCTTTGTTTGCACATTCCTGAGCCGTGGTTTAAATGATAAAATATACAAATGTATTTATAGTCATTTGTCACATTCGGTTATTTTTATATCAACATATACTTTCAGCAACATCTATCATATGTGACTATTTATGTAAACATATAATACTTACAAGGTCATCTGTCACATGTGGATATTTTACATGAATAATTAATAATTTCAAGGTCATCTGTAACAGTAATTCTAAAATTTTAGGGTCATCTGTCACAAGCTTTTATTCTTTATACAGTTCACTTTATGATATGACACCTATAGTGGTACTGTGATACAGCAGACCTTTCAAGCAGCCCAGTTAATCACATTATTAAATTCTATTCTAGTTTAACAGATCATGGTATATGTAGGATGATAAACTCCTAATAAACTTATCATAATATAACTCCAGGCTCTACTTACATTGCAAAGAGTTCCCTTGAGCGAATGATGAATTTAAATATGTACTCTAGAGATTTCATGGCCTGTCTGAAGGAAGGCTCGTGATCAGTGTCTTCATTGGCATTGTCCACATACTCCTTCAATATGCTCATCAACTTGCTGAAATAACATCAGAATGAATGGGGTTAGTGGTCACTTTTAAAAAGACTTACTTCAGAACTTAGAATATTTTTGGTTTACTCTTCTTTTTCCAGAATACAAACAAGCCTTTACAGAATTAAAAAGCCTATTAATAATCTGTTGATGACATATTTGCATAACTTACTAACCCATAACTTGCTGCAACAGAAAATTTAAGTTTCTGCCACCAATATGGAGCCAGGTCAGCCAGCACTCACAGGCACATCTGTGCAGTCTGACCAGGCTCCATACACTATTGGCAGCATAGTTCTTTTTCAAAACAGCGTATATCAATTATACAAATTCTGCAGGTTAAAGGCCCTATATGACTCAGAAATGGTTTACTTTTTTGTTCTCAAAAGCTTTTTATTTTTGGTGTCCTGTTATAGCCTTCAAAAAGATACTCATTAACCAATTGCCTGAACCATCTTTTGCTTCTGTTGCTTTCTGACAATTAGTACAATTATAGTAATTAAGTAATTTGTATGGAGGTCAAAATACTACTTTCTTTACAATTTGCTACTATTCTGACAAATAATTTTACTTTAAGTTCTACTTTCTTCAAGTATAAGTATCAAACATGTACGTAAACCATTATTTAAATGTTATCAAACTCATGTTTTGTTTTTTCTAAAGAAGAGCAAATTTATTCATTTCTGAGGCATAATGCACCTTTAAGAGCTCATTAATGGTCATTATCTTAATCACAATTCTTAAAGGGTAGTGTTAATCTATATGTCAATTTTCTAAGTTTGTAAACTACTTACTTATATGCTGTTGTTATACTGAAGGAGTTTATATACGCATCTAATATTGGTCTGAACTGATAATATCTACTGTCTGCAACCAGTCCTATGATATAAACCTGTAAATTATAGGATAAAACTGTTAAATAACTACCCTGTTAATCTGATATCCAAGTAATAATAAAGCTACATCTGTCATCTTCAAAATGAATCTTAGTAAAACCCATGGTAGAGATTGAACCCACAACCTCCTGCAAACAAGCTGCACATACAGGTGCCCTGTGCAACGGGGACCTCCTGAGTTCAGTGAATGTTACTGTCTCTGGTTGCTTTTTACGAGAGATTATCAAAACTTTTATATTTGTCAATCTTTTTTAAACATTCATAGTCTGAGTACCATGTTTACGTACTGTCCGGTCAAAAGGTATGTTACATAGTTTATTCATTTCGTACTTGCAAGGGAGGTAAAATTTAATTTCATCCAGGTTCTTGTCTCGCTGTCTACTGAGCAGAAAAACTATCTCTGGCTGATATGTGTTATTCTCATTATCAAATACTAACACATTATAAACATTTTTCAACAAAATCATGCATAAATTTAACTTACGAGGGCATCAAAGACCAGATTGTCATACAGGTCAGATACCGTGTTCTGCATCAAGATGTAGAATAACGAGTCCAACAAATCTTGTAAAAACTGTAATAACAAGACATCTATGAGATAGATAAAAATCTACGAGATCATATGAGAAAATATTGTAAATTCTAAAATAATGTCCAAAGAAATAAGATAATATAAGATTTAAATATTACTATGATTGGTAATAAACATTAGAGCTGTTGATACTTCTATATGTTCATAAACTTATAACTGTAAAACAATCATTCACAATGTATTTATTTATAACAACAATTATTGATAAAAGATATTTATGCATAAATATTAACAATGTATACCATAAGTACAAAATGTTCATTACAGATAATGCCATGACAAGTTTAACAATTTTATTGCATTCCATACAAATTACATAAAAACACATACATGTCATGTAGTTTATTTCTTTTCTATGACACATACAAAACTATGATAACTGAAATCTTTATAATAACAAGTCAAAGAGTTTCATTGATAATACATATATCCTGCACCTTAGTGCAATAATGTTATAAGTGCTTCTAAATCTAATAGCAGTTAATCAGTTATTGCACTAAGGTGACGAATTATTATAAGAATTTAACTCCATGCATTTTAAATCTATGATAAGTACAAATCTATATTTGACTACACTAAATAAAGCCCTTAGAAATAACAAGAATAATAATTTGACTGTTCAACACAAGCTATGAAATTGTTAGTGTTTATCATATATGATATAGAGTTCATTATGAGGGAATTGATTGTGTCCAATAAAGGTTTATATTATAACATAATATGTATCTGGCTGTGTTCTATACATTATCAAGCTATTAAATTGACTATGTCATTACAGACTATGTAACTAATCATGTTTATTACAGGTTATATAACTGTGAATACCGGGATAGGCTTTGACAATCCTTAGCCGAAGTAAGAAGATAATTCTTGGAAAAATGAAGAACATATAATAAACCAAGACAACTTACTTACAAATAATTAAGAAGATTTATTCATAGAAAAAAAATATGTTAAAATGTGTATCAGTCAGATGTGAACAGAGAGTCTTAAACTAGTTTTAGTAAAAAAAGATGATGAATATTTGTACCAAATTTATAATAAACCTTTCATGGAATGATAATGCTATGATTTAAAACCAGATTTTGAAAGACTGAGATACAGTGGGATTATTGTATGCCCCTAAATGGGGGCTTAAAAAAGTGCTCGTCAGTAGAGCATAAAAAGATGTATAGTAATATTGTTCACAATTTAATAAAGAAAGAGAAAAGGACAAGAATCACATGCAATTATCTACCATTTAATTTAAACAATACACCCGCCATCACCAAATACATGTATGCATGAAAATAAAAATTTAGGAAAGTTGCGGTCATTCATTTCACAAAGATTGTGTTGTTTCAAGTTTCCGGGCTTCCATTGATCCAGCTGACTTGAATATAGATTACAGAAAAAAGTCCAATCCTTAGTATATTAACTATTACATATATTTTGTTACAAGTCCCCTGTATTAATATAAAATAGTAACAATACTTTTTTGGAATAATCATTCTTTTCAATATTTTGGAGCAAAATATTTTTAATCAATTTAAGTGATAGGGGGATTACAGTATTAGGAGTACATCAATACCCTCCTAAATACTTTGCTAAACAATGCACAAAAAATGCACTGTCTTTCATAAAATTTTGCACAAAAAATACCCACACCAAACCAACAAACAGTTTGCAACATACAATAAATAGAAAGTAGTTGCAGAGGAGTTAGATTATAAAGAGTTATGTTTTTAAGCCATTAAAAAAGAATTTAAAAAGTCAATAAATTCACAACAAAAGATAAAATAAACATAAATGAAAACAAATTAACCAAACATGCCAATGAAATAAGATTTAATAAAAAAAAAGCATGTTTAATATAAAAAAGCATGTTATGTTGTGTGAAAAAATCATATAAATGTAATATTAGTGGTGCTACATAAAACAACACACATGTCTACCTTAACAATTTCTTCACCGTCTACACGCATTAAACAAGTCAGATGTTTCTTTAGTGATGCCGTATCATTCTCATTTAGAATCTTTTGCCATTTAAGACAGCCTAGCAGGTCAACTGTACAGAAGAAAATTCATCATATCAGCATATCATAGTACTAGGCATGCTCGTACAAACCATTATCAAATCAAAACTTTGACCATACAACCCCCCTCCCCACCCCCACAACACACCCCGGTTTTCTGACACAATTTGCCATTAAAAAATGTACATAAGTTTTTATGTATATTTTGTAACTCAAGACTTTTTAAATACTTACCTGTATATTATTTTAATTTTTTAAACTATATTCTAAGGTAGCTAATTTTAGTTTCAAAAATTTTGATAGCATGGACATTTTGTCCAAGAATAACATTCAGAATCAGGTAAAAAACAAGAACGAGTTTGTTAAACACAAATGCCCCCGGCTCAGATTCTTGTCAGTAGCAATACTTCAAAAAATGTTTACCCATTCACTCAGTTATGGACAGAAAAATCGCCAAAAAATTGTAAACACAAGTTTTATAACTTGACAAAGTCATGGCATTTTGTAATTGTGAAAAATATAAGTTGCCAAGTCATTGCTCTGACTTGTGAAGTTGAAAAATATTTAACTTCATGCAAGTTATCTTCCTACCAAATATGAAATACATCTGTCATTAAATAAAGGCTGTATGGGCAAAAGTGTAAAAATCTATTTTGAGCACTGGTGACCTTGACCTACTGATCCCTACCCCAATCAAAAGGATGAATACAATGCAAGTTATCTTCCTACCAAATATAAAATATATCTGTCACTTAATAAAGGCTGTATGAGCAAATGTGTAAAAATCTATTTTAGCACTGGTGACCTTGACCCAACTGACCACTAACTCCATCAAAGTTTATGTTTCTATCAATTATAAATAATATCTGTCTATAGAATAAGGTCAATACACCTGTAAAAATGTAAAAATCTATTTTTAACATTGGTGACCTTGACATTGGTAACATTGACCTTGACCCAAATGACCCCATACTACACCCAAAGAAGGAGGTGTTTGTATTAAACTAAGACATCAACTAAAAAATAAAGGCTGTATGAGCAAAAAGGTTTATATTTATTTTTTAAACCAGTGACCTTGACCTTGACCCTAGAGACCGCTTACTCCAAAAAAAATTGGAGGACCATCAAAGGTATCCACCTACTAAATATGAAAGATATCAGTAAAGAAATTAAGCAATTAGGAGAAATTTAAGATAAATCCAACTTGCCGAAATAGGTTAACCAGACAAGGCCCTATTTTCAAAGTGAAAAAAGGGAAATAACTGGGAAATATGGATGACACAGTTATATAACTTGGCAATATCATGTGCTTTGTATTGATAAGTAAGTGTGGAAATTATAAAGCCATTAGTAAAGATAGCACTTAAGATATTTCCAACTTGCCGTTTTAGGTTAACCATTATTCATTTTCTAAGTGCTGAAAAGGGCAATAACTTGGTAAATATGAAAGCCAGAGTTATGAAACTTGCCCAGATCATGTACTTTGTATTGATTAGTAAGTGTGTAAACTTAGAAGCCATTGGTACAGGTAGAACTTAAGAAAAATCCAACTTGCCGTTCTAGGTTAACCTCGTACGGACAGACGGACGGACGGTTCAATTACTATATGCCCGGGGGCATAAAAAAGCCACCCTTTAAACTCAGAACGCAAACATTTTTGGTTTTAAAATATAGATGAATGATGTTTATATATATTTATCATTCAAAACTGAAGTCAATGTAAAGATTGGCTGGTCAAAGTAAAGATTGGCTAATGGTTTCCAGACTCAATGTAGCAGTGCCTGCCATAGAGTAAGAGTTTTAATGCAATAAGGCTTGATCATTTATTTTTCTGCTTTTTCAAAAGTACAATTTCCAATCAAACCAACATCTGAAACTTTTCCTATAAAATACATTATTTCCAAAATGATAAATGCTTTGTCGTAAAACATTTATAGACAGACACAACAAAATACATTAGTAAATAGCAGAGGTAATACAATATCAATTTGAAAATTAACAACATTTAATTCTTATTTCAATTTCTATTTTATAAACAGACGATAAATCTTGAGCCATATTGCAAGAAAACTTCAAGCAAAGGGATGGTTTTCAGACGACATACACATATTTGTTATCTGAAAACTACATACACATATTTGTTATACATGCCAGTAGGGTAGTCAGACTGGTGTATCATGCAAGCAGAGTTATGTACCTTGACGATTTCCTCGCCGTCCACACGCATCAACTGTTCAAGATGTTTTTTCAGTTGTGTTTGATCATTCACAACTTCCTGCCATCTCAACAAACCCAGTAAATCAACTGCACCAAAAACATAAAATTAATTGGCAAAAAAAAATTTAAAAACTAGAAATGTGTCATCATGCCACGGATGCCCCCGCATGCAGCCAAAATTTCAGATGTTATAATATTTAGTTCCAAATTTGTTTGCACAAATTATTGTTTTCATTTTAAGTTCAAAGCCCTTAAAACTTTTCAATGTTAACACAAACCATTTTCATACAATGTTCAAGGAACTGAAATTATTCAGTCTTAACCTTTTGAAAATAGCATATTTCATATTTGTTGCCAAAATAATGGCTACATACATTTCCACAAAAGTATGAGTGCTGAAACTGAAAGTTCAAAATTTTTCCAATATTCAAGAAAGATAAGTTTGTCCAAAATCATTGAACCACAACCAAATTCAAACTTAAACTGCTTATTCCTAAGATGTATCTATATTATTTTCAAAGTGAAAGGGACATAACTCTGCCAAAAAATCATCGAACCATGACCAAATTCCAACTTGACCTGCCCATTCCTTTGACATATCCATATGTCAAATTTGAGTTGAATATGTAACACTGTTGGGTAGATAATGAACAGAAACTGTAAATTTCATATTATTTTCAAAGTAAAAGGGGCATTACTCTGCCAAAAATCATTGAACCATGACCAAATTCGAACTTGGCCTGGGCATTCCAAAAACATATCCATATGTCAAATTTGAGTTGAATGTGTTGTACTGTTGGGGAGATAATAAACAGAAACTGAAAATTTCATATTATTTTCAAAGTAAAAGGAGCATAACTCTGCCAAAAATCATCGAACCATGACCAAATTCAAACATGCCCTGTATTTTCTCATGACATATCCATATGTCAAATTTGAGTTGAATGTGTTGTACCGTTGGGGAGATAATGAACGGAAACTGAAAATTTCATATTATTTTCAAAGTAAAAGGGGCATAACTCTGCCAAAAATCATCGAACCATGACCAAATTCAAACTTGACCTGTATTTTCTCAATTTGAGTTGAATGTGTTGTACGGTTGGGGAGATAATGAACGGAAACTGAAAATTTCATATTATTTTCAAAGTAAAAGGGGCATAACTCTGCCAAAAATAGTCGAACCATGACCAAATTCGAACTTGACCTGTATTTTCTCATGACATATCCATATGTCAAATTTGAGTTGAATATGTGCAACCGTTACTAAGATAATGAACGGAAACTGATGATGACGGAATGACGGAATGACGGAAGGATGGAACAGGGTAACACTATATAAAAATAATAATAATAATAAAAATACGTAAAATCTATTGTGCCTCTGCGTAACATTATGTTGTGTTTCTATGTATATGTAAGTTGTTTCCCCCCTTTCAGGTCAACAATATTTATGTTATAAAAAAATGATCTCATTTTTTCTCTCTGAATAATGAGCTTCAAAATTTATAATTTTTACTGACTGTATAGTGAACAGTGCAGACCATCATCAGATGGTAAAATTGTGTCACAAAGGTAAACTAGAAATGTGTCCATAGGACACGGGTGCCCCCACCGCGCCACTGTTCTGTCAATCTTTTTACTAAGTCAAGGGTAATATCTCTACAAATACTGGATAAATCCACAAGCGAAAACCCAGGTGCAAATCTAAATATGCTGAGCAACCTACCCATAAAGTTTAATGACTATATCCAGGGCTCGAATTTAACTTTTTTGGCCACTAGCAATTTTTTGCTAGTGGACAAATTTTTAACTAGCAAAAACTGAATTCAACTAGCACTTTTTACGACAATGATTTTTTAATTGCAAAATTGTTTAAAATTGTAATTTATTTGGACGAGTTCGAACTGCCCGGGGTACGAATCAGCAACGTAACTTTCTACTCAAAAACTTGATTTAGGGGACAGGGAGTCTTATCAAATGTCAATCTACAAATAATAATGCAATATTGTGCCATACCGACGATGTCTGGTCTGGATTATGTGCACAACAATCGGCGCAAAATATTTTGGCAACATTTCCATCGTCATCGAGTTAGTACTTAAGAAGTACTTAAGACTGACGTGCAGTTCTTTCTCCCAATTTTTAACCGTTTTAACTGAAGGTCTGGTTGTCTTTCTTTTGATAGACTGTGAATCATCTTCTGTACTCAGAGTATTGATATCGGAAGACACATTTGCTTCAGTAAGTGGGAAGAAGTTCGTTATTTTTCGTTTAGACATTTTATTCCGATCACGCTTGATTTACATGGACAAAATGACATTTGGACTGGTTTAAATTTGTGTACTTTTTTAAGCGAGGTTAAGATATAGAAAATGTAAACCAGACAGCTAGTGCGCGCATAGTTTATAACTCGGCTACCTGCGAATATTACGCCCCATTTATATTTCGGATTTTCCTGACGAGCGTATTCTGTTTTTTCTTCAACTCGCAAAAAATTGCGAGTAGTCATAAATCTAACTCGCAAAATCATTTTTCAACTAGCATTTTGCGAGTTTGCGAGTGTTAAATTCGAGCCCTGTATATCAAATCCTTTTTGAGTAACTTGCGACACAAGTTGAAAATTGCAAAAATTTTCTAAGTGAAGGGCAATAACTCTAAAAATACTTAATAAATCCAGACGAAAATACCTGGTGCATAACTGCACATGCTGATCAATATTCCTGTAAAGTTACATGACTCTAGATAGGTCACATACTTTTTGAGTTACGTGCGACACATGTTGAAAATTGCAAAATTTTACTAAGTGAAGGGCAATAACTCTGAAAATACTAAAAATATCCAGAAGAAAATACCCAGGTGCACAACTACACATGCTGATCAACATTCCTGTAAAGTTTCATGACTCTAGGTCAATTACTTTTTGAGTTAACTGCGACACAAGTTGAAAATTGCAAAATTTTACTAAGTCAAGGGCAATAACTCTGAAAATACTAAAAATATCCAGACGAAAATACCCAGGTGCACAACAACACATGCTGATCAACATTCCTGTAAAGTTTCATGACTCTAGGTCAATTACTTTTTGAGTTACATGTGACACAAGTTGAAAATTGCAAAATTTTACTTAGTCAAGGGCAATAACTCTGAAAATACTAAAAATATCCAGACGAAAATACCCAGGTGCACAACTACACATGCTGATCAACATTCCTGTAAAGTTTCATGACTCTAGGTCAAATACTTTTTGAGTTACATGCGACACAAGTTGAAAATTGCAAAATTTTACTAAGTCAAGGGCAATAACTCTGAAAATACTAAAAATATCCAGACAAAAATACCAAGGTGCACAACTACACATGCTGATCAACATTCCTGTAAAGTTTCATGACTCTAGGTCAAATACTTTTTGAGTTACATGCGACACAAGTTGAAAATTGCAAAATTTTACTAAGTCAAGGGCAATAACTCTGAAAATACTAAAAATATCCAGACGAAAATACCCAGGTGCACAAATACACATGCTGATCAACATTCCTGTAAAGTTTCATGACTCTAGGTAAAATACTTTTTGAGTTACGTGCGACACAAAAGTGAACGGACGGACGAAAAAGGACGGACGGACAGACGGACGGACAAGGGTAAATCTAAATGCCCGCCACTAACGTGGGGGCACAAAAATGTTACCCCCAGGAGACTAAAACAATGAAATACCTATCTCCAAACTAAAGTAGTTGCAAATGTATGCAAGTAAATCAGGCAGAATAGTGATAACTATGTCTAATCTGTAAATAAAGTTGTGAAATATCTTTCGCTGTTGGATACCGTTTTGTCGTGTTATTTCATAGAGGCACAGGATCGAACACTGGTAAAATAATCTACCTTACTAAAGCCTAAAGCTACATCAATAGCTTTTTTTCGACTTTTTTTTAAGAATTAAAAAATGTTTTTTTGTTTTTTTTTGGAAATGAACAACTTACCGTTATGGGTTAATTTTGTAGAACACACATAGGTGGAAACTTTAAAACTGTCTTTATAACTGAGAGAATATGGTCCACAGAAGAGTGGAATTTTAGGAAGACGTGAATGTGTACCAGACCCACTAGGTCCGTAGTGTCCTGATCCAGCTATATTGCTAGCTTCCAGCTCCTTCAAGGTCGACGGAAGGTCAAGGTATGCTTGATGCATCTTATCTTCCTTCTTATTATCAATCTATAAATAGAAAACAGAAAGTAAACTAAGATCTAATAAAAAGTATAGAAATATAGTATAAATTCTAAACATCTGTAATTCTCTAATAACAAGTATGTCTGTTTGTTTGTTTGGTTCTACGGCGCACAAACACAATATAGGTCATGCTGCGCTGAAACAGAAAACATGATTTTTGCTAACCTCCCGTATAACAAACTTCAAAGCAACACCAGGGGTCAAAACCACCTCATCTGCTGGAACTATCAGATGCAAAAACAAGAGGGCCATGATGGCCCTGAGGTCGCTCACCTGTATATAGGCCCCCCACCCCCGTGCCAATTTTTACCCAAGGGCTTTTATTTGTTTATTTGAACAGACTTGGTAGACACCCATAAGAAGATGTTTCATGCTAAACATCTAAGTTCTAGCTCATTGGCTTTTTTAAAAGAAGATTTTTAAAGTTTTTACTATACACATATAGTTAAAAACAATGTCACCCCTGGGGCAGGGCCAGTTTTGACCCCCGGGTGTTTATTTGAACAAACTTTGTAGATATTTACTAAAAGATGTTTCATGCTTAATATCTAAACTCTAGCTATTTGGGTTTTTCCAAAGAAGATTTTTAAGTTTTTGCTATACACATATAAGGAAAATCAATGACACCCCCCACCCCCGGGCGGGGCCAGTTTTGACCCCAGGGCTTTAATTTGAACATACTTGGTAGACACCCATTAGAACATGTTTCATGCTAAATATCTAAGCTCTAGCTCTTTGAGTTCTTTAAAAGAAGATTTTTTAAGTTTTTACTATATGCATATAGGGAAAATCAATGACCCCCTGGGGCGGGGCCAATTTTGACCCCAGAGCTTTTATTTGAACAAACTTGGTAGACACTCATTAGAAGATGTTTCATGCTAAATATCTTAGCTCTAGCTCTTTGGGTTCTTTAAAAGAAGATTTTTTAAGTTTTTACTATATGCATATAGGGAAAATCTATGACCCCCTGGGGCAGGGTCAATTTTGACCCCAGGGCTTTTATTTGAACAAACTTGGTAGACATTCACTAGAAGATGTTTCATGCCAAATATCTAAGCTCTAGCTCTTATGGTTCTTTAAAAGAAGATTTTTTAAAGTTTTTACCATATGCATATAGGGAAAATCAATGACCCCCGGGGCGGAGCCAATTTTGACCCCAGGGCTTTAATTTGAACAAACTTGGTAGACACTCACTAGAAGATGTTTCATGCTTAATATCTTAGCTCTAGCTCTTTGGGTTCTTTAAAAGAAGATTTTTTAAGTTTTTACTATTATGCATATTGGGAAAATCAATGACCCCCTGGGTCGGGGCCAATTTTGACCCCAGGGCTTTTATTTGAACAAACTTGGTAGACATTCACTAGAAGATGTTTCATGCCAAATATCTAAGCTCTAGCTCTTACGGTTCTTTAAAAGAAGATTTTTTAAGTTTTTACTATATGCATATAGGGAAAATCAATGACCCCCAGGGGCGGGGCCAATTTTGACCCCAGGGCTTTTATTTGAACAAACTTGGAAGACACTCACTAGAAGATGTTTCATGCCAAATATCTAAGCTCTAGCTCTTATGGTTTTTAAAAAGAAGATATTTAAAGTTTTTTCTTTTGGTTGCCATGGCAACCAGAGTTCTGCATGGAATTAAATTCTTTGAACAATTTTTAAAGGTGACCACCAAAGGAACATTCCTGTGAAGTTTGGATGAAATTGGCTCAGTGGTTTATGAGGAGATGTCATTTAAAGCAAAAGTTTACGGACGGACGACGGACAGACGCCGGACGAAAAGCGATCACAAAAGCTCACCCTGTCACTTTGTGACAGGTGAGCTAAAAACTCCAATAATGATACGGGATCTAGTTTAATTAAATAGTTATTATATACATAGAAATTCACAGAAAATTATCTGTAATATCCATTTACATGAATAGGAAATGTATAACTTACATTGACTGTGTAACTTGCAAACATCAGAAAATTTTGTTTACATGAAAATATCAGTTTACATGAATGGTAAACGTTTTATTTATATAGATTAAATATATCTACCTTGTACAAAAGAAGGTCATGTTCCTCATCCTTCAGTGTTGTACCATTCTTGTTAAGCAACTTTACAAAGGCCATAGCAAAAGGTTTCTCATTTCTATCTTTGGCTGATATATAAAGCAATACATGAAATACATAGAGGATATTGAATGAGGTATAGGTTCATAACTAAATTTATAAGAGTTGAATTAAATCTTATTGTGTGAGCTGGTTTGCATGATCTTGTTTTATTCAAAGAGTTCAATAAATTTAGTAATGAATCTACACAAATATAATATTCTATTTAACTAAATAAGAACATTTACATTTAGAAAGAAAATTTTTTCATTGACATGCCTATAGTGTAACACTAACAGTTAACAGTTAGAAAGAGTAATTATTCATTGACATAGTGTAACGCTAACAGCTCACTTTAACCATGTATATATTGCAAATTATGTCATGTCATAGTGTTATATCACCAGTGTAATATCATTTTAATTAAATGACTTTATTACACTCATAGTTTATGTGATAAAAATTTTTAAAGGGTCTACAAAATAGCTATATAATTAAATTCTTCAATCCTATGATCAAAACCTTATCACTTCAATCATACAGTTAAAAAGACACAAGTCATATATACAATATTCAATTTTTTTTTTTCATGCATGATTTTCCCCCCAACTATTCTCATGGTATTTCTACCGTTCTAGAATTTGTATATCCTTTGTGATCATGATAGATTCTCTTAATTCAAAAGAAAAACTGATGTTTAGTCAGAAAATAGTCTAGGTGACTTCCCCGGGAGAAAAAAATGTTACCACAAACTTATTTTTTGGATTTTTGAAATATCCTTCAACTGTACTTCAAATTTCAGTGAGTAAAATAAATTCAATGATGAAGTTAAATAATTTCAAAACAACACAAAAAATACTTACTTTCATTTCTTGACTTGTGTTTGAAAAGGAATTTCAGGTGTAGACCCCTAAATTCTATTTCTGTTGAAACAGCAACCTGAAATCATTAATTCAACCTACAGAAAAGGTGACACTACATGTTATTCAAATGCTTGAATGTTCTTCTGATTCTTGATTTATACCATTTGTCAAGAGTATACTATAAATAGAGGATATTCAAGTTTTTTCTATAAATACATGATTTATTTTCATCGAGTGGTATGAAAATAAATATTTCATGAGTGGCGGTAGCCACGAGTGAAATATGGTAATTTTCATGCCACAAGATGAAAATAAATCATGTATCTATAGAAAAAACTTGAATTTTCTGTTTATTATATACATTTTTCTCTTTCTGGATATAAAAATTTGCAAGACTTTCCCTTAAATTTTGAGTACTGGCAGAATTTAAAAGAAAGTAGTCCGGCAAGACACCAGTGAAAATACGGAAAATATGTTTCACTGCAGTGAAAAATAAATTTTTACAGTGAAAATACGGAAAATGAAAATATGCATTTTATTTCATCAATATTTCTCAAAATTTCATTTAAAAGTATATAATAAATGTAACTCCATCTTAATCGATATCAGTTGAATTGATATATTGATTAAATCCATACATTTGCCTAATGGTCATCTATTGTTAAAATTTAATGTATGCTGCTGCGCATAATTATATCAATGTATGTATCCATTTATCAATGTAGTTTTCAACCCAAGCACACATATCTTACAGCTTAAAGTGATGCTTGCTGTGGTATTGTCAGACTGTTTAATGACAACCCCCATAACTTAGTAAAATGACCTGTTAAGCACAGAATATGCATACACAGAATTCAGTTTTGCCACAACTTTATGATTCTCACATGTCTTGTAAATGGAAGTACTACAAAAATATCCAGTAACAAAATTTTCTTCTGTTAGAGATTTGTATGTATTTCTTCATTTCTTATTGCACAAGTTCTAAAATTGGCTTATTCACTATTAAGACCAGTTCACTATATTAAGACGACTTTAAGTCAGTGCCGTTAGTGGTCTTAATAGAGGGAATTACTGTATATAGAATCTCTTCAGACTGTACTAATGTGCAATTTATAGGCCTGGATCTGTACAGGTCATAAAGGCCTACCAGTTTTTTGGTTGCTGAAGCTCCATAGACTTATACCATACATATCTATGAAAAAGTGTGAAATCATAACACACATAAACCAGTTCTTAGCATATAAGTTTACCTTAACAATTTCCAACCATTTTGGTTTGTCTTCATGATAATAAATGAGTGTTTTATACTCGGAGGATCCTTCACTGCCACAACCTGGGTTTATCACTTCCTACAAATATACATTATCATAATATTAAATAAAAATTCTCTTAATTAATCAGTTTACATGATCTTGTTATTTCAAGTTTCAAGTCATGCCAATAAATATAGTTGTGGAGATATGCTCTGGACAATATAGAATTAAAACAAATAAGGAAATTAAATGAAGAAAAATCATTCAAAAATAGAGCCAGAGTAATTGTTCTTGGTCACTGCACTGAGAGTAGTCATCTGTCTATATTTTAAAAGGACTCTACTGAGGTGTTTTGACATGACAGGACTGAATATAAATTTTCAATATTTCAGTTTGACATAGATCTAGACCAATAATTTGTGTGCAAAATTTCAGATCATTTTCTCACTTAAGTTTTCCCAGAACAATTATTATTATTCAAATTGTGATAAATGACCTGAAATTGAAAAGCACCCAAATCAGGTTATAAAATACAATTTTCTATTTATTTCTGAGTAGATTTCTTAATTATCTTATATCTTTGTGATGTAAGTGCCTGTGTGGTTCTATGTAAGAAATAAACTAGAAATGTGTCCATAGGACACGGATGCCCCCACACGCCACTGTTCTGTCAATCTTATGACTCTAGGTCAAATATTTTTTGGACTACATGTGCCACAAGTTGAAAACTAAAAATCAACAAAGGGCCATAATTCTGTTAAATTTGGTCGCAGCAAAAATTCCTTACTTTAAAAACATCTACACATTAAGGTTGTTCATCCCTGGAAGTTTAAGCAAAATCTGCCATTTGGTTTAAGAGGAGTTGCATTCACAAAATTTCTACATAGTATATAGTGAAAAAATCAACAAAGGGCCATAATTCTGTAAAATTTGGTCGCAGCCAAAATTCCTTCCTTTACTACCATCTACACATTAAGATTGTTCATCCCTGTAAGTTTAAGCAAAATCTGCCACCCGGTTTAAGAGGAGTTGCGTTCACAAAATTTCTACATAGTATATAGTGAAAAAATCAACAAAGGGCCATAATTCTGTAAAATTTGGTCGCATCAAAAATTCCTTCCTTTACTACCATCTACACCTTAAGGTTGTTCATCCCTGTAAGTTTAAGTAAAATCTGCCATCCGGTTTAAGAGGAGTTGCGGTCACAAAATTTCTACATAGTATATAGTGAAAAAATCAACAAAGGGCCATAATTCTGTTAAATTTGGCCGCAGCAAAAATTCCTACCTTTACTACCATCTACACATTAAGGTTGTTCATCCCTGTAAGTTTAAGCAAAATCTGCCACCCGGTTTAAGAGGAGTTGCATTCACAAAATTTCTACATAGTATATAGTGAAAAAATCAACAAAGGGCCATAATTCTGTTAAATTTGGTCGCAGCAAAAATTCCTTCCTTTACTACCATCTACACATTAAGGTTGTTCATCCCTGTAAGTTTAAGCAAAATCTGTCATCCGGTTTAAGAGGAGTTGCGTTCACAAAATTTCTATATAGTATCTAGTAAAAAAATCAACAAAGGGCCATAATTCTGTTAAATTCGGTCACAGCAAAAATTCCTTCCTTTACTACCATCTACATATTAAGGTTGTTCATCCCTGTAAGTTTAAGCAAAATCTGCCATCCGGTTTAAGAGGAGTTGCGTTCACAAGATTTCGGGACGTACGGACGGACGGACTGACGGACGGACGGACAAGTGCAACGCTATATGCACCCACATTGTGGGGGCATAAAAATAAAAATATTAGGCTTTTGGACCTCAGTGAAGTTCCTTTAAGTTTCAACCCAAAATATAGTGTTTAAAAAGCATTAAGTTAGCAACATACATAAACAAGACTCACCTTGAGAACTTCTCCCTGTTTATTACACACCAACATACTCACTTCCACATTCTTATCAGCAGTTTTTGACCCACGGTTAAACTCCCCCTCTATAATTGTTATGTATATATCATTTCGCACAAGATCTGAAAAAACATTACCAATAAAGTTCAAGTAATCTGGAGAGAATAACTGCCTTGGGCCAGGTTTTGTACATGTAAAAATACAAAATCTAAATTAACATGAAAAGAAAATATACCATACCTGGCAGAATAACATCTGGGAAACCCATCTTTCTCACCACTGTTGTACTTGGCTGGACTACATGGGGAAAATCTTCTCGAATCTACAAACAAAAATATGACATGAACAAGACTTATCTTGAGAATCTGTATAATTTCTTGCATGTTTTTTTCATTTAAAGTGTCCCAGTTGATTTATGTTAGAATTTCAAATTTTACGTTTTCAGGCTTTTGGAGCTTCTTTAATAAATCAATTTGACCTATTTTTTAATTATTGTATCTTTAAAATGGACAGATGGTAAAAAACGTGCTGTCTTTTACATACCATTGTTAAAAAAATCACCGTCATTAACTGTAGCTTAATGAAATACTAAGTGTCAATCACTCTACTAGGACTCCCTTTGCCAGAGTGTAGATTAGTCAAATAATAGCTTTACAACATTTTTCCAACAAAATCATTATTATGACAGCTCTGTATCAGACACCTGATATTTGGAACAATTTTTTTTGTCCTGGAAATTGTAGCAGCTATTAGTGATGTACCAGCAGATAAGTATTTACCTGTTTTATGTCCCCTTTTAGAAGTTTGAGAGAGGCAAATATACCCTGTCCCCGATGATTGATTTCTTTACCAGTTACAGTCTTCCGTACACAACTATCCATGAACTCTTTATCCCCACACCTTAAAATACATCATAATAACAAATACTATTTTGAAATCTTTTAGTATGGGTTGAGTTTGAAATAAATGAACTATTACCAACATTTGAAGGTGATGGACATAAACTAGTTGTAAATTTTCAAAGCAATATCTCAATA